AATAATAATAATAATAATAATAACAATAATAAACGGTTTATTAATAGAGTTGTAGCCGGTGGCTGAAAATATACAAACTTACATTTGAATTAGACATAATGATATGCGTTCAATACATTTACAGGGCTGTACAGTACATAAATCAGGAGTTTTGTGTGTGTGTGTGTGTGCTGAGAGTATGGGCACACTATGAGTTAAGTATATATTCAAAAGAGAAACTAACATAAATCCTGGAGTATCATGAGCAGTTCCGTGTGTACAGCAGGTGTCCAGCAGAAGGTTGATGGCCTCACTAAAGGTAAACAATTCCCCTGTGTTTATGGTCTCCTAGTGGCTCCACTCACCTGGAAGCCAAGAGGGGGGGGGGGCGTGGGGGGTGAAAGGAGTGTCTGGATGTTTGAGAGAGAGAGAGAGAGAGAGAGAGAGAGAGAGAGAGAGAGAGAGAGAGAGAGAGAGAGAGTTATGAACGTTTGTCTGTACACGTGATTGTTTTGTGTACATCTTGTGTTCGATATAAGACTAAAATGAAACTGAGGGTAAAGATAAAACTGATAAACTGAAGTGTATTAAACAATTAGGTAAGACGTTAGATAATTTAGATATTTCCTCTTTATGTCAAGGAACAACCAGAACACGTTTTGAGAGCAGCGGGATGTGGTAATGTTGACTCTTGTGATGAAAGAGTGTTGCTGTCCGCTTGCTATATACAGTACTTTCACTCACCGCCGTTTACACTACTCCCGCTCTTGACTTTCTCTCAAATTCTTCCTCATCATCCGTGTTCTAACTTACCCCGTTGTTATGCATCTATCGGATAGTCGTTTTTTCAATAGTTAGGTTTTATCGGTGGTGTCAGTAATATCATAAAGGAAAATAATAAATTACTTCCAATCGACACAAAACACTAAAATGTCGTGGTTAGTAAATTTCGACTGTTTTTGTTTTCGTGTCAAGATTATCACAGCTTTATGAACCATGACGACCTCTGGTGGGTCGTCGTCCAAGAACAATATACACAGAGGTAGTGAAAGTTCTTTGTGTGTTACTGTAGTGCGGCTCATGACCACGCATGACTAGGCTGCCCACCACCCGCGCCTCGGTGCCCGGGGTTATGAGCAATGTCCTTCCTCTGGTGTCTTCCGTCCACACACACACACACATAATGGTTGCCTCTACGGGTTTATAAAATACGGTAAATACACAGTTTAGATCAAAATAAGTACAATTCATATACAGATAAATAGTAGAAAACTATTACCGATAACAGTGGGGTTTTCTACAGGTAAATCAGGTGTATTGTATTTCCTTTAAAGAAGCAACAGAGGAAAGAATAAACATGAGTGATGAAGACATTTTTTTCTGATAATTAAACCCACACACTCAACTTGGGTTCGGTAATAATTATGCCCTCAGTCAGAAGGCGCGAGGTATTTTTAGGTTACTTTCTTTTGTGCCGTGTCCATCACCTTTATGTGCCGACCCCCATTGATTTACCAGTAAAAATATAGTAACATAATCACCGAGTCGTGCAATATCTTGATTTTTGTGCCTTTAAAGTGAATTATAATTAATTTTCTCTTGTTTCGTTAGTGAAAAAGAATTTGATAGATAAATGAATAAATTGAGTTATAGAAAGATAGGTCTGTTTGTGTGCGTGTGTGTGCGCGTGTGTGTGCGCGTGTGTGTGCGCGTGTGTGTGCGCGTGTGTGTGTGAATTGTATGTTTGTCTGTGTGTACATAAAACCCTTCGGCGGCACCGGTTCACACAGCCGAGCATCGCTAGACATGTCTGGTTCATTTTCACCCTGACCCACCCACACTCTTTTTCCTTCTTCGCCTGAGGCCGCACACCTACTAGTCCCTCCCTGCGTTCACTCTGTCAGACCCTCTGTGTTCATAACCAACTAATCCTCCCCGCATTCACGCACACTGACAAGTTCTTCACGCGTTCACACAGAGATGAGAACACCACTACGATACCAGTTGATGAAATAATATACTCTGAGTAAATGATGTGAAACTACTGAAGAGAGAGAGAGAGAGAGAGAGAGAGAGCTAGAGGTGAAGAGGAGCAGGTTGAGTGTGTAGCGGAGGTGGAAGAGGAGGAGGGTCCGAGGTAATAAATTCCTTTCGAAGTCGAGACAGCCAAGTTATTTTAGGCCTGCACGCTCTGCCCCCTCCCCTCCCCGGAACATAGTGGACACCGCGACATAACACATATAGTCATGATCATCTACATATTGGGCTACATTCACTCATCGTAATTAATAATAATGACGTTTTAACAAATAGCAAGCCTCGCAAGTTATGTCACATATAGGTGAGTGAATCATGAAGAAAAAAACACAATATGTTGGTGTCCTATAAACGAGGCGATGCTGCCCCGTGCTCAGATGTTTACAAGACGCAGCAACAAGTGTGGGGAGTTGGGGGCGATGGGTCTGTTTTACGGAGGCTGGTAAAGGTTTTCACGCCTGTATTGAACACTTCTGTTTGGGTCAACATTACACCAGCTCTAATAGCAATGACTTTTAGAAGACTGCTCGCCAAGGTTAATGGTTACGTACGTGCCCGTCTGGATGAGTACACACAATAAATGTAAATACCGGTAAATGTGTTTTTTATGTACATATTATTAAGTAATTAGGATTAGTATGCCACTTCCCCGATAAGACGAGATGGAGTCAGATAGAAACGAGTCATTAGAGTCAGACATTCAAGAATGTTTCCGTCCATCTACCTACAACAGTGACATCCGATATCAACACAGTATTCCGATTTAACATAACCATATCATCTTTTGTTTACACCTGCCCCCCTGTAGTAAAATTCTGTAGAACTGTGCTACGTCCAACAAGACTCTTAATGGTGGCATTAGTACTACTAATGCTGTTGTTGGCAATACGACTTCCACTGTTTATTACAATTGGTAATGGTGTTGTTACCGATACTGGTGCTGGTAATATTACTACTGCTGGTGTTACCCAAGTTACTGGTACTACTATTGCTGGTGTTACCCTAGTTACTGGTACTACTACTGCTGGTGTTACCCTAGTTACTGGGACTACTACTGCAGGTGTTACCCTAGTTACTGGTACTACTACTACTGCTGGTGTTACCCTAGTTACTGGTACTACTACTGCTGGTACCATAGTGACGTCATTACCGTGGCTGGTGCTGTGCTACCGTCAGTGCTGAACAAGAGCCTCGCAACACTTTCTAGTGCATGTCACACGCGACAGGTTTTTATCAGCCATTCTGCAAACAGGTGTTTCTCTCCCCTGTGTTTGTGTGTGTTATTATTTTCTCAAAGTGAGCGATTACAAGCCAACAGAGACGGTTGTCTTGATAAGTGTTGACTATCGCCACACGGTCATGTACAGTATACAGTAGGTGCTGTTACGAACCCCTCCACCGATTGTCATGATCTACCTACCCAGCACTACGAACCACGCCATCTATTGTCTTGATCTACCTACCCAGCACCACGAGCAACGCCATCTAGGGACGAGACACGAGTATGACTCGTCTTAGTTACCACTCCGGGGTTTCCCTTCTCCATATCCTGGTTGTTGCGTCACTTCCTCCAAGTCTTCTTTGTCAGCTCGAATTCGAGGAGCGAGCACTTGGCTCTGGGAAGTGACCACAGGATCACCTATCCTGGAAACCTACGGCACAGTGACTACCTACCGTCTTCTACAATACTCAGCCTTGCTCGTCAGCCTTCTCGGCTCCGCACTTAAGTATTTGTAATCTTGTATTGCCTCCCCCACGTCCACTTGCTTCAAATTATCCTATGTAGTATTAATATGTATATACTGTTAATGTTTAGGTTAAGTATGGTTAAGGGTCAATTATAGATAGCTGAATGTTTTGTTAAGGAATTTATGGTACTTTATTATACGCAACAAAAGCTCGCATCCTTTGTCTACCCTTTTATAGTCCGATTGTCTTTGTTTTTTTATTGTTGTTGCCTGTTGGGATCTGGGTAGACGTTTAACTATATTATAAATCCCCAACTCGTAACAGTGCAGTACAGTCTATTGACCATTTTTCTAATACTTTATTGAAGAATCATTATCTCTTGTCACAGTAAGTAATTTAGGAATATTTGTATATGAAATGTCGAAGTTATTTATTGTTTTACTATTATAATTTCGTGAATACCAGAGAATTACTTCCGTCAAAGCAGCTTATTGCGAAGTTGACAAGGAAGTGTTGGTCAATATCGTTACATAACAATATATTTTAGCATGAAATTGGTAGGTTTATTGTTCCCCGTCGCCCCACGAGTCGAGAACATGGCATAAATGTTCTCCGTGTCCGGAAGTTGTGATCACGATAACACGAACAATGTTATAGCTTCTTGAACTATGTGGGGGATTGTTTCACAACCTGACAACCTTGTTCTCTCTCGGTCAACAGTTTAGATACAACGATTACCTTATTTACAATCAATTCCAATGTTGGGTCACCTAAAGACTTGCTCCCCACACCCACAACTACCTTAGGTTAGCGTTAGGGTGGTTAATCTTCAGGTGAAATAAATTTGGGGATAATGGTCATGTGATTCCAGCAAATTTATAAAAAAAAAGAATCTTAGCCCATTACTTAACAAGCAGAAGGTTATAAATACATGAGCACTACACACGCGCTATTGCGAGGATATACTAACATTTTGCGATAAACATACAAACATGACCACATGCACACTGCCAACAGACGCACGCTCACAAGCACATACGCGTGTACACTTGACAATGACAGACATCGACGAGCAAGTCAAGAGACAATCTCCACGTGACACGACATGACATTTAATGATCCGCTTGGCCCCTCGACTAGTAGAAAGTTGCCCACGCGCTCACCTACAGAAAGCCCAGTTGAGGTTTACACCCGAGGTTAAGTAGTCGAGACTGTAAGTTAAAACGGACCTTTAGCTTCTACTTGAGGCCATTAAGCGAAGTGCACGATTTTCTAACCAATTTTGTTCCTTACAGAGATGCGATTTGTGTTGGTGGCGTGTGTGGTGGCGAGTGTAGTGGTTGGTAGCACGGCTCAGAGACCCAGGATCAAGATACCATCCAGGATAGAGATGCAGGTGGCATTACAGAACCCAGTCACCGTTGACAAAGCCCTTCGCTGTATCGAGGGTCTACCCTGCGAGCTGCCTGACTCCTACGCCCCCCTTCTGCGCCGTAAGTTCACATGTCTTCTTTTTCACAGTTCTGTTTATAATACATCGCTCAGTAACTGTATTTAAAGTTATACGCTTTTATACAGGTGTTGTTTAAAGTATGTGTTACTCGAGGGAGTGAGGTAAACAATACTCTTGTGTCCACAGACTTAGGGCCAGAATTGATCCTGCGCCGTGAGTGTCCCAGAAGGCTGTGTACTCCAGCACAAGCCAAGGAGGCTAAGTGGCTCATGGCCCAGATCCAGAGGAGATACCCCAGGAAGTTCAACAAAACCATCAATACTCTGCTCGCGAGAAACCCGCATGGTTTTGCTGGATAAAGTGACATAATCAGTTACACTGTTATTATGTAAGATAATATCATACAATAAGAGAAGTATTCACCAGGCGCCACACGAGGAATGGGAGATTATCACTTCCATAATATCCAGCAGAAATAATCTAATAGGTGACAACATCTACATTGAGATCTCACAAAATACAATCTACTGTACTCAGCTTATCTAACCTTTCCGCAGTCAGTGTGTGTAAAGTTGTGGTGACGTCGATACATGCTGTTTGTTGTGCCTAAACTGACCACCACCACCACCACTACCTTGACGTACATTTTGAAGTTTCCTGTTTCTGTAAGACGCACACAAAGATGATTTATTATACCTGATTTTTCTGGTGCCAAGTTTGTAGAAAGTTTAAGATATCTGGATTTTGCTCAAAACGGAAAAATAAATTAATATCGAAAGGATAATTTTTAAGGCTTTATACATTTTTGTTATTGTACTGTTGTATTGTTGAAGCTGTGTTTTACCGTGTATGGTAACAACTGTATACAAGACTGAAGCAATATTTAAACTTTGTAAGTGATGTAATATTTATCCAAAGAAAAATATTAATTCGGTAAAAAAAATGCTTTGAATGTTGACAATAAAAAAAAAAATATACATATATTTTATTTTTTCCTTTTAACTGAACAGGAGTGGGCGAATTGATCAAACATAATTATACCTCAAAATTATAACAACCCAGTAATAACTTATTACTGGGTTGTTATAAATTTTATTACTAATAAGTACAACTGGTGGTGCCAATTGTGTCGGACAGCTGTACTCGTTTTCATCTACTAACCGTACAGTAAGTACTTTTAAAAACTCTATCTTACACATTTTTAGCCTGTGATCAATAAATTTTATGGAACCAATAATGGAAAGAGGTAGAGAAATATGGAATAGGAGAAAGAAGAAAAAGAGAACCAGGCAGTGCACAAAAACGCAGTTATGGAGATAGAAAACAAACATACAATTATGATATATACTAACGTGCATGAAATCTCCGGCTGTATTAGATTATGTATACAGGATGTCACAGGATCCCCATTATCAACTTAGTTATGCTCAATCAATCCACATCGCCCATCCATCAACTATAGCCTGGAGGGTGAGTGGACTTAATGCAGTTACTTCGATAAAGAGACATGTGTAACAATCAAGACACAAGGATAGTTAAGACAACACACCAAGGCTGCTCAGCACATGGATACTATTAGGGGGGGAGCATTGTCTAAAAAATAATGGACTTGCTACAAATTGAGATGACAGAATACGTACTAGACCAGGGAATATTATATGCTAGACCAAAATATAAAGGAGATGAAACCAGGACACCGCTACTGGTGCTAAAGATTGAAATGAGTCGTGCCCTAAATATTTGTAACCTTTGGATAGTCGACCATTAAGCAGTGTATTACAACTCCGGATCATACTTGTAGATGTTCAGTCAGTAGCAGATTTGTCCCATGCAGACGTGGGGATAGTTTATTGAGCACCCCCTCGCATCCTGATCTGATCAAGGGAGGCTCTGCACCACCTTATTCAGGTAAGGGAGTGGGGGGACGATGCACCACATAGGTTACGCAGCCCAAAGATCTTATACGTATTTACATTATCAAAGTATTACATCCCGGGTGGGCCATTCCATATAAAAAAAAATACCAAGGTTGTCAGTTGAGTGGCGACGTCCAGAACGAGGACAAGCAAACTATGATACCTTACCATGAGACTATAAAGTACACAGGTGCCTCTATTCTTTATACAGAAGTGTGTGAAACAACTCAATGAGCACCACTCGGTCAAATACACAGTACATATCTGAAATTAGCAGATAACCGCTCCATTAGAGGTCACAGATCACAGCCTCAAGCTGAAGAAGTTAACATTAAAGAAAATTGGACAAACTTCCAGCGAATGTTATGAGAGCACCAATTAAATGCTCCTTAGATCCAGGCAAGATCATCACTGGAACATGTACATTCAAGAGTCCATGAATGTCCTGTGCCAGCCAACAGTACACAGTAAAGAGGTGACTGGACCGACCGGCAATGATGAAAGTTAAGTAAAGCGATTTCTCAACACCGTAGCAAACCTTCATTCGTAATTTAAGATTTATTGAAAATTATGAAAATCCAAGCCCCATAAGATGCCTGAACAGTCATTTACTCCAAGTTCTAAGTTTTTTTAAGCTATTGGCTTTTTTTATTAATTACACCCAAGGAGTGGATAACTCAAAGAAGACTCGCTGTAGAAAGAACTTAACGAAGCCATACGTGTCATTTAGCATCCATCAAAGTGTGGGTAGCGTACAAGACGTAAGTACATCTACATTACTAAATGCAATCAAGCTGTGATATTATAGTCAGTGACACCCTATGGCAAGAGGTCCCTGACAGTGAACCATCAAGGCGAGAGTGTTGAATAATAATAGCTAAGGAACTATTATAGTTTACAGGAAGCCTCTGACTCGAGGCTTGGCAGATGGGTGTGTAATCTGTATCCTAGCATAATGTAAGCAGACAATATTATTATGTCCGCGAACCTCAAGTCGACGTCGACGACACTTACATAGGAAGGGAAGACTTTGATCATAATATCTGATGGAAAGGCCACCAGGATGATAAGAGGTAGAACGCATTCTCTTTCTTTAGTAGACGAGGAAAGGCGTCATGTTAGAATAACGGGAGACGCTGGAGGTTTAGGGGATGAGAGGGTCTGATTGGGATCACACATAACCACTCCAGTTAATCTCATTTGAAAAAGAAATCAAGAGCATGTGAGAGTACATGCAATTAATTGTACAGTGCGTAGTGCTCAACCAGTTGGGGGAGCCTGCGGCCGACCCAACCTCCTACTTGTGGGTCAACATGGGTGGTTAACTGCACACCCCCGTGCTCCTGTCGGCAGAGGCTGAGTTGTTTCTAAATGAGAGTAGCGACTGCCTAAACAGGACAACAGAAGTAAATGAACTAACCAAGAAAGGAGAACCGAAAATAAGTGAGATTACACAAAACGAGAAGACATGCACAAGGATGTACGAGTAAGTAGGCCACATTGATAGGTATGGGTGTCACATACCAAGTACCGCCTCCTCTGTTGTCCATACGACCACAAATATATTTCAGTGTTTTACTAAAAATAAAACTTTTGCTAGATCTGTCTGAAAATGGCCACATACATCCCCTAACCTTCCCAAACCCCTAAAAATATTAATAATCATATCACATGAGAAAATGTTATTATAGATTAGGCGTTGCAGGATACTCTTCAGCCTGAAAAAATCTTGCTACTGGCTATTAGGCTCGACGATTAAAGAATCACATCTACAGTCAAAAGTATAATTGAATACTTATGTCCCTAAAGGCATATTCGTATTCAAGACAAAGAAACATTCACACGAGTCGTAAGTCTGTACGAGAATGTGGACGAGTCCAATGGATGATTAATACAACGAAGTCAGATAAAACTTCTGAATATTCTGTATAGATTAAGATAGATTCAGCTTCAGCTCAGTCATATATTACACTTTTAATATGTAATCACACACTAGCACAAATGAGCTGAGAACTTTACTCTTAGAACCAAGTTATTTTTCAACTCATTGTAGGTGCAACCACTGGTTGAATTGTGATAGGAGACGTTCCATCAAAAAATACAAGTTAAACCAAAGACATTTAGCAGATAACAGAAACATGTGTATAATTTAGCACTGATGAGGGGTAATTTTCACTTTGTTGTTACAGCATAAACAAGCTGGGTAGACAACGTCAACAATAATAAACGCGGAACAGCCCAAGGTATGATAGGCGATTAATGCGTTGGCATCTCCCACAAACACTCAGCATTATATAGTTTATATTCACGCCATGTGCAGCAATTACAGGGAAACAGTAATTATCCTCTTGAAATACCTTATGACACTTTTGATTGCAAATAATATTATTTAACTCCCGGCAGACGACTGATCGGGTAAAGCCCGCGCTATTTTCTGATGCTTGCGCATGCCCACTTTGTTTTCTTTTTGGATAAACTCTTGTATCTGCGGGGCCTCGTAGTCTATACCTAAATTTAACAGCAAACTATCAAAATTTGGGTTTTGATAATACTTAATACTACAAAGTAAGAAATACAGTCTATATTGTAGTCCAAAATACTTTTTAAGTACCTTAAAACCCTTTATATACGATGTGCTTTTGTTTTATTTTCAATATTGTGGCTGGTTTGTTTGGATTTAGGAGTTTATATTTGTATCCGACATTTGCGCCAAGGATACATTTGTAAACTGAGGACTTTGACATAGTAATTTTTACTTTATACATTATAATGTTGATATGAATAACAAAGAGATAATTATATGTCATTGTACCAGTCTTGAAAAGGACAAATATAAAGGATAAATTAATAAGTGAGCAGTGTACACTGAGAACTCGGGAGATAAATGAGCGACACTGGCTGGTCTTTGACCTGAACTATAAAGTGCACGAAGGGTTGGCAAATTTGGCTAATGCCATGCAATAATAAGTTGTCTAGTCATAAAAATATAACCAGGTCATTGCCATGACTTCAATGGAGTACGATGTCGACTCTATGGGCGGCCTTATGCCGGTGAGTATGTATTTAAGTCTATTGAACACAGGGTGAGGTGCAGGAGGTCTTGGTCTAGTCGAGAGTATGGCGCCTCCATCTTGTAGTCTGATGGCCGTGAACCGACCCATAAGCTACACCACACTTCATATAATCATTGTCAAACTTTGTTTATGGGTTATAAACTATGAATAACACATTATAGAGGGAGACGTGAGCAAGGAAGATATGTGTGTAAAATGACAGGTAACCCTAGGACAGACAAATTTCTCAGTTGCCTTGATTTTTCATGTGTGTAATGTTTCAGTAAGACTTACCCACATTAAGCTCCTTGTTATTAAGACCAGATATAAGTATTTCACAAAAAAGTTGAAAGTGAACCTTGCGATTAAAATTGCATCTGGTGTCCATTTTATCGTAAACTTACCGTAAAAAAATAAACGCTTCTTTAACATACAGTATTTTCATCCTAAAATGAGGTTATATTAGTATTTAATGTTTAATTCAATTTTAAAAGGAAAATAGATTACAGTATAACATTTGATTTTGGCATAAAACTTAAAGCTTTTGATTTATTAAAATCCCAGATTCCGTACAAACCTTTTTTGTGCAGTTTATGCGAAAACTTACAGAAAGAAAGATTGAGATGATTGGGATGTTGTCTGACATCAATTTCCTGTAAGAATGGAAGGAATGCAAAGAAGTATAATTATGTTATGTTAAATTATCCCAGGACTATTATTGTTGTAGGCTGTTTATTCTAAAGCTACGGATGAACTTTCTGGTCAGCCTAATCTTCCTATTAGTCCATATATGCATGAGAGAATTTTATTTATTTTCATATTGGTTCATTGTAATTGTGACCTGAAATGAAAAGTATGGTTAGTAAATGATTTTGATAGCTAAGAGTACAGTACTGTATTTTCTTTCTGTTACAAATCATAATTTCAATCTTTCAGTGTACTTTATTTGTTGGTAACAAATTATTGAATATTTTTAGTACTAAGATGTTTATTGAACCATATAACAAGTTAAAAAATACCGTATGTATAGAGAATATAGCCTCCAGAAATGTCATGATAGCCTGCGGACTGCACAGACCACTTTAGATACTTAGTTTTTATGTTTATTATTAATATCCTGGAAAAGTAAATATATTAGGAACTAGGTAAGAAGATTTAAAAATTTCCATTAAATGCAGCTTTAGTAAAAATGAGAGGAAAATGGTTTTCATAGTTTTCTCCGTGGAGGCTTTATACCACCATGGTTTTCACCATGTCTTTTTTTTTATTTAATCTTACTCTTTCTTTTCCTCTTTTATGTCGGTTACCTTTGCTTTTGATAGTCTAGAATGACTGCATCTTCATGTATGTGTTTCTTATAATGCATAAGATATGAACCTGGAGGGTGAGGAAGGAAAAAATTAGTTTGGACTGCCATGTTTGCCTTCCTCCTAATAGTTAACAAGTTGACCCAAATCAACCAACCAAACATAAACTAGAATATAGCTAGATAATAAAAAACTTTCAATCCTAAAAACTTCAGTCAGGTTAGGTAGGTCTTTTTCATTAATTTATCTACAGTATGGTAAATAATTTACTTAACTGGAAAAAATTCTACATTGTTTAGGTATGAAATGCCACTAAGGTAAAGTAACCAAACTAATAATACAAAAATTGCCATAAATCGTTGTTATATTTTTCTATACATTATAATAATCAATATTGCTATAGGAATAATATAAGCTGCTGCCAATTTTTAATGATTATTTATTGGAAGGGTTTGTGTCTATAAAATGTTGTTTGTCTCTTGGTACGCGCATTAACTAGTAATTCCCCACGTTGTGGAGAACTGTGTTGAAAATGAAAACAAAGGAAAACCCAAACTAGAAAATTTTGCAATTCCTCCAGCCATTTTACTGAAGTGGCTCCTTCCCATGAGTCTGAGATTTAAACTATTAATTAATTTGTCTTTTTCCCCTTCCAGAGTCATTCTATGCATTAAAACTAACCTTTTGATAAAGATCCCATAAAAAAAGCATATACAGTAATTGGAGTCGATGCATAAGTTGTGTTTGTTAAAGAGATGGTGAATATTCTAGTACAGTACTGCCACTTTCTTACATGATATTTAAGATGGCATCTCTATTGATATGTTCCTTTTAATTCTTAAGCTACCGGTACCGTCAAGTCCGAAAGGGGTTCAAAGAAAAAATTTGTTTGAAAAAACATTTATAAAGTACACCACAGAAAGAAATCTATTTTTTTAAATATTGTAATAAATCCTGAGGTAACTTTAGTATTGTTGGTTTAGGTTTGGTTGGTTTTGAGGTTTACTACACAGTTGCTCAGCAGTTTATTCCTGCTAGAATCAGTTATAGGCCTAACTCATAGAAGCATTAGCCAATTTCCTGTTTTTAAAGTGAGTTCAAATTTGTACATTTCTTGCTCTGGCACCTGATTTGCATTGTATGAATTAAATCTGGTTTGGGTGAAAATCCTGGAGAAATGGAACCCTTTTTTGCCACCTTATTTCCTAATGCTATACTTTAGGCTTAGAGAGGATTTTTACAGATATATTGTTGTAAAGTATAGAATGAAGTTTATTGGGGGAGACAGGAAAAAATTTAGTAGAGGACTAAACTTTAGAATTTACAGTACACTACCTGTATACTGTATATAGAATGTACACTCTACACTTATACCTGGTACAGTGGTTGGCATGTTTTCAGAGATGTGGCAGATATATGTTTGTATACATCATAGCACAGTACTATTTATCCAGCTGAATGGCTTGAGACAACCTCTTAATATGGGTCAGACCAAAGTGTCAAGTTTGTAATCCTTCTCTTATCTATGAATTCTTGGTAGTTCCTGTTTTCTTATTGCTTACACTCAGGTTGCCAAATTTAATGTTATTGCCTCCTGTCTGGTATCTGTTGGACAGAGGTGGTGGCTAGGTGGTGTCATTACATTCCTTGTCCTTTTCACCTTTATCACTAACACTCAATGAACACTTAGGGCCATAGTTAAGGTCAAAATCAATGTTATTACTGTAGAATATTATAAGTGAGAGAATACAGAGCAGTACAGTACATTAGCACGTTAGAAAATCACAGCACTGAAACATTGCTCTACTCTGCTGATACATAAAACTAATTGCCACGGTTGGTGAAATGATATACAGAGTGAAAACTATGGATACAGTACATGGAATTCATGGTTTGCAAGGGTCTACTGTACTGTACCATGAACTTGCTAATGTCAAACTTCATGAAGGCTACTTGGACTGTAGCATACAAGCCAGCAATATTGTGTTAGCTGTGTACAGTACTGCGTGATTTAGCTAATAATTTCTGATAATGCATTTTTGTTTATTAAGCTAATAAAGAAAAGAAATGTACTCTGCGCATTAAAGACTGAAATAATTTTATTCTGGTAACTACATTTCTTTTAACTTGTTGATTATATAGAATTAATTAATATTAAATCCTCATGTATAACAAAGTTTCGTACAGTACATTACATTTACTGTATTGTTCACATGAATCATATTACAGTATCACATATCTCAATATACAGGTACAGTACAGTACAGTACAGTACATTACATAGCTTTACTTAGTTTTGGTGAAAAAGTTGAGTACCCTGTACATGTGTACTTTGTGAAATTTATGGCTTAATGGAAGTATGAGTTCAGCTGTTCATAAATTAATAAATGAGAAATTATGGCTTCTTTATTGTCAGTTCAGATGTATAATCAGTACTGTACATCGGTGTAAGGGTGGTGGTAGGGTAGGAAGGAGGCCTTACATAACCTTTTGCTTTCTTTCTGTAGGTCAAGAAAAATTTATTTCTGGTATGGAAAACGTCAGGATTTTTCAACATTAGGCCATATTGGAGGTAGCAAAGGAAAAGTAGAACATTACCCTTTTGTTCATTATAGTGAAGGAATACAGTATTAATGTATTTACTTTTATTGTACAGCAAATCCAGGCTCTGACTGCACCACCTGGAAGCCGGGAACCAAACAAACAACAGAGTGGTGGCTCAACCGGTTCTTCAAAAGAAGGTCTCGCTGCTCACCCATATTTTCGTCGCCCGGGTCGAGGTCACAACCACGACTCATGTGATGCGTGTGGAGAGGGCGGCGACTTAATTTGCTGTGATGTCTGCCCAGCTTCCTTCCACCTTATGTGCCAGTGAGTCTCCTGTTATAGATAGACAGTATAACTAGTACTGTATACTGTATATGCTTTAATAGCAGTGAACAAGCTGCAGATACAGTGAAGCCTCCACATAATGGACTATCCTCTCCCATGTAGTCCACGAGATAGAGGTTTCACAGTTTTTTCATTAACTTGTAAATTTATTATAGACTTTCATTATGGGAATTTTCCTTCTATGCAAAATATTTGGCACTTGTGTTTCTGTGTGTACTGTATACATTTATCAGCTTGCTATATTGTGTGTGTGTGTGTCTTGACTGGTTTAACAGTATCTCCTTGTCTTTCAGTGACCCACCTTTGGATGAGGAAGATATTCCTATGGGAAGGTGGGCATGTCATCAGTGCAAAGTTGCAGGGGTGAGTTTTTTGTTTATTCAGGCAATTGTTCTGTTCTCTGTTATGTCCTTCTTTGTTCTTGAAAGTAATATTAAGACAATGTATGACAGCAAAACTTATAAAACTATGTGTATTTTACGAGGTACAGGACTCTTATTTTCTTAGAAAATAACTAATGTTCTGGTTACATCACCAGACATTATTTGCTGTACATACTGTATTAGCCTAAGCTAATTTTATTAGGATCCAGCATTGGTTACAAGAAAAATAATCTAAGTTTCTTACCCATTGAAAATACTGTACAGTACTGTATATACTGTACAGTTCTCCCTCAATTTATGATAATAGAGTACTGTACAGTACTCTATTGTGTTCCTGAAAACCCTGTCATAAAATATATTGAATGTCTCCATTGTTTACCATTATAAATTGGGAGATACATTCCTTGAAAAAATTATTTTTCTTCCATATAATAAAAGACCCTTTGAAACACAACTTAGATATTTGCATGCATAAAAAATAAATGCAGTACAGTACAGTACAATTTAATGAAAAACAAAACTTCCACCCATGTACAGTAAGGTCTCACGGAATGAGAATTAGGCTTAACAAGTGTTTTAGGGTAAGAAAGTTCGACATATAAGCTTACCTGTAGGTTGCATTTTTATTTGTGGAGCCAAACTAGTCATGTTTTATCTGTGGTTGAGTGGGCAGCCAGGTAAGTATACTGTACTCTGAGGTCAAGTCATTGGCAGATTAATCCAGCTGGGTTAGACACAGAACATAGACAACATGGCAGTGTTTGTTTTCTGGGTACAGTGCAGTCCAATATTACCTGTTTCCTATGTCTATATTTCATATGTCTGCCAGCTGACTTGATGCACCAATTCTTCATCCTATGTGCTCATCTTTCAACAATTTTATTAAGCTCTTCTCTGCTACGGTAAAAGAAAATTATTCTGTATTCTTAAATTTCGTATTTAGTATACACTCAAATCTTTCATAAAGTAGATTTTTGGTTGGCAGATACTTTACGATACCAGACATTGCAGGTTTTCTCCAGGTACTTCAGTTTCCCTTGTTCTGTACTAACATTGGACAATATTGGAGAGTCATGACAAAGAACAGACTGACCACCTGAATGGCTAGTAAGCTGACAGGTGGTGGAAATGATAAAATAAAACATAAACTTCAGCTGTCAACTGTGTTATGACACCTCCGCTGTATCTGGTAGCATTGTGCTCCACCCATATGAGCAACTTTACATAAAGTTTGAAGTTTGTTTTAATTTTTTTTAATGAAAATATTGTACCTTGTATAATTATTTAGTTTGGATGCATTATGAAAAACAAGTTCAATAATTTGTGTATATGAGTTGACAACTCTTTTCAGCCTTGGGGTCAGAATATTGTATGTCTGCCAGTTTACAGTACTGTACTGTACAGTGTTAGAGCTTCAGCTCCAACCCACATAGATGAGCCATCACTGAACTTGAGTTATATTTATGAAATGATGTTTTATTTTTGGGTCTACGGCCAACTGAACAACTCCATGATGTTAATTTGGGGGTTTGTCAGATAATCCTTTTTCTATCGCAGTGCCATTATGGTAATTGGGAGTTGCCGGTTGATGGATTATCAGATAAGAGAGAGTCAAGCTGTACCATTTACCTTTCAAATCCACTTTCTCTCTTCAAACATTACCCTCATTTACCATCTGTTTTCAGAATAACTCCAACCTTTACCAGTAATGTTCACTATACAACCACCATTAACTTAATAATGACTCGGTTAGGTCTCTTCAAAAAAAATATCTAGTCTTATATTTGTGAAGAGTCTAATTGTTTTATTGAAGTTAAAACTATTAACTTTTCACCAGCCTGATGACGATAGAACATCTGTATCCAGCGGCAAGTCCAACAAGAGTGCCAAAGGCATTAAAAGGAAAGACAAAGAAGAGGAAAAGCCAACTTCTGCTGCAGGAAAGTCTGAGACCAATGACAAAAGAGTGTGTGCAGGGGGGCGAGAGTTTGAAGTTTCTGATTCCCCGCTGTTTACGCTCATCAAGGCTGCAGCTACAGTCAACCCTAAGCAGTTTACTCTCCCTTTTGAGATGACGTTGCCAGTTTGCTTTCCTGGTGAACCTAAAAGTATGTTTGGATTTCATTTGCATTGGTTTGTATGTTTAGCTTTTTGTCTGTGTATTCTTTTACTGTGCTTAGTGCTGGATGTGAGAGTAGATTTTGGATGGATGAATAATATATCCTAATTGATGATAGATGGATGTAAACAAAGTGAATGGACGAACAGTGGTCATCCATAGTCTTTAGTCGGTTACGTACTGTCCTCAAATAAAGTATGGTTACCCGTGAGGTTGATGTGGTTTGTGGTTTTGTGAGCAGTGTTGGTCCACTAGTTTTGGAACGGATGGGAAAGGCTATCACAACTATTGGTATATGTTCATCATTACATAATACTATATGTGGATCAAATTATCAGATAACAATATTGTGCAAAGAACTGACAGAATCCCAGAATCTCAAAATGACTAGTAATTTAAATTTTATTACTTCTGATATTTTATATTTAAATAGTATCAACCAGGCATATCAACATATGTCTATGCACTAGAGAACACATCATAGCATTTCGTCCAGTACAGTAATTCAAATTATAAAGATGGAGAAAGTAATGCTAATTTTTAGGAGGGACTCTATAGGTAGTTTAATTTATTTTATAATTTATTTTGAGTTTGCGATTTTGATAATTTTTCACAGATGCTGTATTATGTTTTATTGTGGATGACTTTGTTCAGCTTCTTAATGTTTGATATTACTCAGATTATAAATAAGATGCAGACAACATGAAATATTAAAATGAGAAGATGTTGGACTAAGTGTTGGCCACACCTTATTGAAGTGATGTGGAAATGTTTAGAGGAAGGAAAGTGAAAGATTAGTAAAAAGAATATATAACTCAGATGAAGATTGTAGGAGGGAGAGAGGGAGACTAAGAAAGAGATGGAGTGAGATATGCACTAGAAATAAGGGAGATGGACATTCATGAAACATCAATGTATAACTGGAGAGTGAGGCTTTGAGTGGTTTATAGAGATAGATATGCTGCTGATGGTTGATGTTAAATTATGTGAAGCAACAGTGATAACCAGATAGATGTTTGGGGCCTTGTTGATTAAGTGTGAGTTTATGTCATGTCTAAAGTGAAAGAATAGCTGGAGTGTAGTTAAACTATGGATGGAGTGAACATTGGATAAAAATAAGTCACCTCTAGTTTTGAAGACTTGTAGAAAGGAGGTATTTAAATAATTGAGAGTAATGATGTTAGAGAGAGTACTGAAGATCTAAGGAGCATTGAAGATTTGGATATTGGACATGTAATGAAGTCCAGAGGAGTCAATGTGGGTAGGGGCAGGTTTTGAAGTAGTTATGGTTTTTACAGGTACTGGTAAAAGCAATGGAACCAGAAAAGGAGGTCAGAAGAAGAAGGCTCATGAACTGGACAATGGATTAGTTCCTTTGCCTGCCAAGTTATGTTTTCAGTGCAACAAGTAAGTTACCGAACTGTACTTTTCTGTTATCATACTCTTATGTCAGATATTTCATGTTCCTTTCTGTAGTCAGGCTGTGTCCAGTTTACCCATTCCTATTATTAAAAATCATTTTGCCTTTATCACTCTTACTTTTTTTTGCACTACTGTTACTTAATTGCTCTTATTTCCTGATAGCTATGTGGTCATCTCTTCCTTTGAATTATGCTGGGTATTATGCTTATGTTAACTGATCAATTACAACTACATGACTCTGTTTTACATACTTTTAATACTGTATATGTCATTTTAGTTTATGGGTGGGTTAAATATCATTATATGCAGTATTATGTATTTTAAGTCGTCCCATACATTTTGGATTCTGTTGATGCAAATGTGTGTACCAGTACCATAAATAATAATACAATGGTTTCGCTTTTTAACAGGAGCTGTCGTATAGGTCCTCTAATACCCTGTGATTACTGCCAGTTGTTCTTCCATCTTGACTGTTTAGACCCCCCACTCACCACCCCACCCATGGGAAAATGGATGTGCCCAAACCACCCTGAACATTTTGTGGTAAGGAAAATGTGATGTTAGAGACAGATGTAGAGCTGCTCTGTTTTTTATTTATCTTCAGATGATTTAATAAACAAAAAAGAAAGTGAAAACTCCAGGAGCATTAGTACTGTATTATATATTTTACCAACATTTTCCAATTTTATATAATGGAGTTGGACAAGTATACTTTCTTTCTCAAATGGAAAACAATTGTAGTAATTGAAATGTCCATGTGATGTAATTACCAGCAACAATTTTACAGATTTGATAATGACTTTTACAAAATCAAGTCATCAATTTGTTGTACAGAAGAAATTTAATTTAATAATGTAATATTTCTATGAATGTACTTTTCTTGTAGTATTGAATATTACCTGTATTCTTAATTTCCTCCTCTCTTTCAGGACTCTACACTATTAACATCTCACAGTCTTAGTGAAAGAGTAAAATTATGGGACAAATTCAACGTGCCAGTAGATCAAGATTCAGTACGTTTGAACTTTCTACAGCGGTGCCATAGAAAAAACCCTCCCTTCCGGTACAAAGTTAAACGTGCCCTCAGGTCGAGAATACGAGTAAGTGAAAAAAATTATATTGTAAGTAACTTGTGCCTTATGATTTGATTGAAATTGGGTATTTACATTCTTATAAATTTCACAATTATACTTTATAATCTCTGACTTTTTTCAGAGTTATTACTGAAAATTCTGTACAGTATTACAAAATCTTTCACAGACAGTTTTCATCCTTTTTTTGTGTGCACATAACAGGGAATGAAAAATGAGAGGAACAAAGTTAAATTTTGGGAAGGCATGAATAATTGAATTGAAAGAGATATTTAGATGTAAGAGCAATGTGATGGGGAAGCTGATGGAATTTGGGGGAAAATTTGGCAATGGAGAGAGACAGATGGAAGTGTACAGAGAGAGGTGTTTGATGTAGACAATACACAGTTTAAAAGGAAAAAAATCCATATGTGTACATGGAGTATTATTGTCGTTAATGTTGTGTGTGTGTGTGTCCGTCCGTCTTTATGGGTTTATGGATATGTTTGTGTTACCGTGAATCTTGCTATTTCCAGGTGCCACTAGCTGTCAAAGAGCAATACTCGGAACCGCCAGACTTGCTTCCCTGTAATGGCCCTCCCCAACATCTTCTTCCTCCTGTTTTTGAACAAAATACAGAGGCTTCCACTGCTACCACTGTACCTCCCACCACTGCCAACAGGATAGCTACCACCTCAGTTACATCATGTGGTAGTACAACTCTCTCTTCTTGGTTACATCAGCAAAATTGGCGAGGATTAGATGTGAAGGAAGAGCGAGTCGAAAATTCGGAAATTATCCTGGATGGGAAGGAAGCACCAGATAAAGAAACAAAAGTTGAGGATAAGAGAAGTGAAACAGAAAGAAAAAAGCCAACAAAAGAAGAAATGGATGAAGTAATTTTAACAATATCTTCTTTTCTCTTTTGCTACTTAAAAGATGAATTTTATGCTGTAGTTGTATCATATGTATTTGTTGGAATATAATGCTTACTGTTATTTTGTATTTCAGTGGCTGGCAGGATTATTATGTTTACAAGCCAGTATTGTTAAGCACATGGCAAATAATACTACAAGTGGCTTAAACAAAACACCAGAGAAGCAGAGAGAAATGAACGGTCCCACATCTTTAGGTAGTACTATGGATACTTCTCCTCCTCTAGAGAGACCGGGCTGTATGAATGGGGACTTAAGTTCTCACGACCTGAGCAGTAAACACAACAGATTCGCAGATCCTCGAAGACAACAGTCAATTATAAACAGTAATTTTCAGCCTCCACCTCCATATCTGCCTGCAAAAAAGGGAATCTTAAAAAACCCAAAGGGAAAGTAAGTATTGACTACTTTATTTTATTGTGTTCTCTTTGGCTTCTAAAGTAGTATATAAGTACCTGTACTCTGTAAGCCCAGTTGTGGGAATTGGAATCCTGATGAAAATTGCTTTATTTTAGTTTATATATATACTGTACATCTCTTATCTCTACTCTGCCTTCATTTTTGTTTGGGTTAAATCAAAGGGTGTAAGATCCTTAAAGGAGAGGATGCATAGCAGGGAGAATGATGCAGAATAAGTACGGAGAACAACAAGAAAAGGCCGAAACACTTGTGCTGTACTCGCTCGTATCATTAACTTGCATACACAATATACAATGTGACTCGCAGCATCCATATCGATTCATAACTTTTTATATTATTTAACTGTCTATAAAGTTGAGTTCCCAGGTTTGTTTATGTTACCATAATCACCTACAGATATGATTGTTTGTGATCAACATTCATTCTTTGAGCATTGTTTAACATGATACCTTCAGACCTCACAAATTCATCTACCTGTATAATAATCTTGTCATATCTTTTTTTTTTTTTTGCAAGTTGCTTTCAATGCATTTTGTTGTACAGAAATTTGTTCTAAATACATCTCTCACCTGCTATGCATACCATGTACCTACACCATCAATTCTCCAAACTCCCATTATGCTTGAAACATTATATCTTTGTTGCTCTTGGTTTTGATCTGTCACCACTTTTAGACTCTACCAATGAATACTTTGACAGCTTTCAGTAACCTTCTGCATACCATACAAAAGCAGCATTTTTCCTTATTACATTCTTATACAGAGTCCATAAAAAACTACATATACTTTCTTCTTTTTTCTAAGATTTGCCAGCTGTTCTCACTCTGTGGGCTGCAGTTAGGAAGGTCATCCTGCTGTAAAACTTTGCTTCACTTGTCTGTTGGCAACTTTGCCACCAAAGCTGTGCCCATCCCCTGGTCTCTGCTACATTTTCTGTGATGGCACCCTGGGTTTGTGGTGGTGAGGGGATCCTGTTATGATTTTAGCAAACAGCTACTGTCAGGTAATCATGGCTAACCCACATATATGTGGAAAGTGGCTGTAAAACATTGAAGAAGGTGATGTTGATTACAGTATTATTATTATTATTATTTTTACATACAGTATATCAGCATTAAGCCTGATAAAGCACAATGTAATAACTACCAGTTATCATGCTGTGTATATTAGCTTAGAAGCCCATGAAGATTAAAAAAAGAGAGGAAGCAAAAGCAAATATACTGGTCTTTGTGCCAGTATATGATCAATACATCTTCCTCCTTTGCTAAGACGTCTCTGCCTCTCCCCTGTAACTGGTTCTGTAATGCTATGTACACAGTCAATAACTATTCTCCCATGTACAGTTGCCACCATTTATAATGGGTACAGTGGCTGCATGTTTTGTGAGATGTGGCACCACTGTTTGTTTACAATTTAGTAACAAGCAGAATAGACAGAACTACCCTCGTTGTAGTAAACAGACTTAGGGTACGAAATAAGTAGCCCTCCTCTTATCTGTGAATGCATGCATTTCTGGCATGCTTATAGTTTTAATATAGATTACCAAGTAGAATGTCATTGGTTCTTATCTGTTGTTGGTGTGGTGAGGGGGTGTCACGTAAGGAGTCGGGGGGGATGGGGAAGGAAGGAGGGGTAGTGGTCAGGTGCAGTGACACACTTATGTTTGGTATGCAATGCACAGTCTGTGAGTAATGATATTTTATGTTGTTTTTGGTGAAATGCTGACGTGTTTTTTAATGAAGATTGGGGCACAGTATTAAAAAACTCTTGCATGTTCTAATACTGCTGTAATTGAGAGGAAATATTTGTGTTCAAACAGTGGTGCCACATTTCCCAGAACATGCCAGCCACTGTACCTGTTATAAATGGTGGCAAATGTACTTTACCAGCTATAGTTAGAAGACTATTTTCTTTATAATTCATATACTGTCTTTCTAGCCTTGTTTTTATACATGACAATAATAACTGCATTCCTTCAGTCATCTGGAACAGGACCTTGTCCAACTACTTCAGTCAACCATTGAATTTTTCTGCAACCATTCAATTCATAAATTTTCCTCTAACTTTAATTTCATTTACTACACCACCTCACTGTCAATAGAACTCACACTTCAGAGAAGGATGAGTATGATAGTGGGGATGTGTGTGTGTGGGGGAGAGTGAAAAGCATATTGGTACGTTAGTGAATGCTTATACTGATTCCCTTTGTTTTAATCAGCATAAGTTAAGGATATAAATGAATTTATTAGTAGTTACAGCTTCTTATATACCCTCACATTAGTTCTAAGAAGACTCGTAGATTAAATCCATCAAGTCTATGGGTTCCAATCCTAGCTAACCCTCCACATTGATTGCATGCACAAATTAAACAATTAGCACAACTCTCCCCTCATAACTTATCTCTTAGAAAAGGCTTATGAGAAGAAGAGTTATCACTGAAGGCTTACAGGTGATCAAGTGTTGGTGCCACAGTGATGTAACCTCTCTTTCCATTGTTCACATTCAGCTACTTTGGATTATCCTGAAACAATCTCAATCCAGCTGTGTCCCCTGGTTGATGGTCATAGGCCATTCTGCTTTGTAAGCATTACCAGTGTTAATTAGTGCATTTGCTTCTTACTACAGTATTAGCACTCGGAAGATTTTCAGTCGTACCACACAGTCCTGCATTATGAACATCATAAAGCGCTTTCCAGCCTTTGTTTGTTGTTTTGCTGTAAGATTAGTTCGTTTGTCCTAATGATCTACTTGTCTCTTCAAGCTGCAGTCCGTTGGCAGTGCAGGCTCTTAACAACAACGTGTCAAGGGGAGAACCCAATTTCTTGGTGTAAGTAACTTGGCCCATCAATTGAGGATAGTGTTTTGTAAACAAAAGGGCATCTGGCCCTGTGGATGAGAGGATTCAGATTGATACTGAAATTATAGAACCCGAAGTTCTATTTCAAATGTTGGTTTGGAGCTAATTGGAATTCTTCTTATGGGGTAATGAACCCTCACACAAAATTTGCTGCCAAGTGGGTTGAACGTGCTTTTCATTGCTTAGCATTGGAATGTGAGAAAACTTTTTCTGGAGATTGTTTTTCAGTTGAATGGGATGGGATTGGTTAGTGAGAAAGGTTAGGTTCTGATTGGGTTTTAGAATAACAATTGCTAGAAACTAACTTACAGTTACTTTAGATTATGTAAATGCAATAACAATAAATCTTAACCTACACCACAGCCTGAGTTACACTCTAATGAAAATATTTTAACCTTATGCAGTAGAACATTATACATGGGAGTCACTCTAGGGTCCTATCTCAGGCAACACACTCGGAGGGAAACTTGTTAGACTTTCCTTCGTACTGTCTCTCTTTACGTTTTATTAGATGGTTCTCATTACTGTACATGTCATTTTTTATGATTCTCTCACTACACATACTGTATTGATGTTGGCTTAAGTAATCTCTCCATTATCCAAAATCCCCAATCCTCAAAACTGTCCATTACCCGGATTTTTTTCTTTTTTTTTTAGCCTTATGAGAAATTCCGGGAAAAAATCACTGTTCCATGCATCATACGCCGACACTTGCCGAGTGCGTGGGTGGGTAGGCTCAGGGCAGTGTGCTCATGAGCTATAATTGGCTGCTACTGTCATGTGACTGCATGGGATACCTATAATTGGCTGATGAATCTGACAGCCTATCTCGTCAAACTCAAGCATCATGACCTTCCTGGTTCATTATATGCTAAACATTTCATATGGGGTGTGTTGTTGTTCAAACCAGGAACTTCTGCCTCTCCCTCCTTTGGGCTTAAGCTGGCTTTGGATCATGAGAGCCACCTAGAGGAGGGTAGTAACCAGAAATGAAAGATTTGTTCTGAAACCCCATTTTTGGCTGGAACCTCAAGCTAAGTGGCTTGGATATATTCCCCCTCTTTCCTTAGGTTCTTGTCTAGTTCGCTGGAATTAAACCAAAATGCTTTGATAAACCCTATTTTGTGCAGAGCTGTAGGGGCAGGCCCATCTCTACCACATGATGAGGAATGACTCATTGGGCTTCAGATCTCTTGAGACCTGTTTTTTCCTTTTCTTGGGGAGGGGAAGCAGTCACTCTTATCATATCATACTTGTTTGAGATCATTAGAGCAAGGAGAATGGAAGAGTACTTATTTTATGTCTCTTCTGAATTAACAGTATAACTTGGGCTAACACTGGAGGTTTTATGGACTAAAGGACTGCAGTCTAAGCTCCTATGTATTATAAGAACCACTGTCAGAAAGGGATTTTTTGGTGAATCCTCCATTATCAGTTACATATTTTTGCTCTTACTGTTGTTTACAAGGGAGCTTTGGCTACTATCTGGGGTAACAGCATCTAATGTTTTTTTCTTAACTTACAGGGGCGTCACCAACCCTGGAACAAAGGCTCCCAGACATAGAAAACAAACAGCTTCTGAGATATTGTCTGAAACATTGACATCCTTGGCTTCCTCCCTTCAGAGCTCAATTACAGGCAAACAAGGTGAGTAAATACTGTAATAATAGGTTCAATCTTAACAAATGGACTTTGTATCCCTTAATTGTCATAAGTGTTAATGAAGGGACAGGATTGGTTGGGGTCAAGGTAATGCAGCAGGCTTGTGTCGTCATATGTTTAGAAATCATGTAAGGAGATAAATTTGTAATACTTTACAACCTATATTTTTTTTAATAAATTGGCTACATCCGTTACAATCTCCTTTACAATCTTTTTACAAATTGTTTTGTATTCCATCATCAGAGGTGTCATTGAGTCAGTTGGAGCGTTCAGTGGTAGATGTTTTGGCATGGCAGCGTTTAGAGGAGTTATTGTGCCCTCCCAGCCCAGCACCTGCACCTATCGTCACCCAGCCTCTTCCAGCCCGAGCTCTGCTCTGCCCTCTTGTTCCAGATTCACACCTTCAAGATTGGGCTGTCAAGTCTCCTACACCGTCCTACAGTTCTCAGCCAGTGGCTATGACTTACAGAATAATTCGCATAGGAAAAGGTAAAGATTTTATCCATCTCATTATTGCAAATATGCCTTTTCAAATTTGAATTAAGACTTTGTATATATTATCATGTTTTACACATAACTTTCAATGTGAAGATTTGCATATTTAGTTCTTTGATATGAAATTTCCAGAGAACATTGAAAATCAATTGAGTGTGGAGGAGGTAAAAATTAGGAATTATAGAAAATGGGGGAGGACTGCAATTGGTACCCAGAGTGTGCACTGTACAGTATATTGATAGTTTAGTGGTTTAATTAATTTTGATTTAATGACAAACTTTTGAAATTTTTTAATAGATTTGGGGAGATAGGCAGAACATTTTTAAAATTAAAATTCACAAAAGCTGTTCATGAGTTTTTCTGAAAATTTCAGGGATGAATGCCACTGATACCCAAAGTATACTCATGAAGGTATTAGTGGCTTCTGTCATTTATGTATTTTTATTAATATCATTAGATTTTCAAGGAGCCATATATTAAAAACTGGTTCATAGTTTTTTCAGGGATAATGCCACTTGGTGCTCAAAATATGCTTTGTATGGGATTACTGGCTTCATTCATTATTAAATTATGAAAAACAAAACAAAAACATTTCACTGTCTTTGTGATCATGACGAGCTACAGAGCCACTTGCTGTAATTTTAATTATGGCCCCAGTTTATGGAGTTTAGGCTGTACCCTTGGTATTGTTAATATTATTTACAATTGTTAGTCTTTACTTTAAGGTCTTATCAATAATGAAACAGTAGTCATCCAATCTGATGGACCTGATCATCTAATGATACTTAGTTACCTCTTATGAAACTTGGCAATTGTGACCTATTAAGACTTTTATATCTTTCTATGGTCATGCACTATTGCAACCTGTTACAGTCACCAGACTTCACATGTCTTCATATGCATGATCACCCAATATGACACTTGTCACCTCTTAGAGAACTTGATCACTTTGACCTATTTTTGGGGACCCCCAGGTACCTCTCATCAAAGTCTGAGTCACACTGGCTGTAAAGTTTAAAAGAGGATATTTTCCTGTCCACTTTTACTTTTGAACCAGCTGAGGAATTTTAAAGATACTGTAAAGAAACATTAAAGTCAATAAATTGATGATTCACAAACAACTCCCAGCTTCCCTGTCATGAAGGCTTAGTAGACAGATATCAAGACAGGGTACTTTTGTGTTTACTCTAGAACTTTGAAGTAGCTGAGGGATTTCAGTGATAGTTGCCAGAAATATCATTGTCAACAGGAGTGTTTGTTGTGAACAACTCTCAGGTCCCTGTCATTAAGATCAAGGTTACAATTTTAAGTCAGCCAAAAGTTATTATTTTTATTTTATTATTATTTTTTTTTAATTGGTGAATAATATAAGATTTATACTCGATGAGTCTGTAGTTTTGTGGGTGTGTGCATGTGTGTTTTTCATTAGTAATTATCATGCCATGAATGTTTACTGTATGATATATGGAGAGGAGAGCTAGGTGTAGGACAAGAATTCTTTGGGGAGAGATTGCAAAAATGACTTAAGTGTTAAGAACCAAAAGAGAGTCTGTAAGACACAGCACAGTATGGAGAGCCATCATCGTTTACTCACACCTAACCCACGCAAGTATGTAAAGTGGCTGTAAAATGATGATGGTGATGTTTTATTAGTTAGGAAACAAAAAGATAGATGAATATCCCAAAAAGAAACAAATACATGCTGGGTATGTAAGGGGGAATAGTTTTTACCAATTATTGGCCACTTGGTTTTACTATGAGTGGAAGATTGGTAAAAAGACTGTATAATTCAGAGGTGGATGGAAGAAGGGAGAGGGAGTGGTCAAGAAGGTGATGGAAGGATGAGTTGAAGGACATACTAGAAGCGAGGGGGATGGACATCTAGGAAGCTGTGAAGTTGTGAGTGATAGGAGAGTATGGCATCAAGTGGTCCTACTCGCCCTATAATAAATAGTAGGAAGAAATGGACTGAAAAAATGTTTAGTGTACGTATTTGTATTATTATTATTACCTGTATTATTACTATTTAATGTGTCTTTCTTTACAGGGAGTCACAACCATGTGGACTTAAGTACTTATGGTCATTGTAATTACATATCCCAGGAACATGCTGCAATATTTTTTGATGAGGTAAGATTTTAGCAGTTATTACAAAAAATTCACTGAGGGTGTAATTTTGTGTGAAATTATCGGGTGCAGTACAAAATATTACCAAAGTTTTACACGCAATCAAAATTATTTATTTTTTTATTTTTTCTCTCAAATAACTGGGTAATTTCTACTTTCTCCTCTTCGTGTCCCTTGTTAAGACTCTTGTTGAAGTTATGCCATTGTTTTTGTCCACTGTGAAGGGAATGATCCAAGCTTTAAAGATATAATCCTGTGGCAGCTTGCACACCAGTTTGATTTGTACCAACTAGATTGAAACAAACAAAAACACCACCTGGTGGCTGGATCACAAACTATTCCAAACAGGACTTTTTGTGAATATGTACTCTATATGGGTAACTCAACTGTTTTGGTAAAAGGTGTCCAGATGCTACAATGTTAACTGCCTGTGGTTCCAGAATTGTTTTTAATTTTTTTTTTTTTTATAATGGAGCCTCATTAATTCCTGGGCAGATCCTGTATAATCGATACCATTAAAGCTAAAAGGTTAGTTATAAATTGTTGTTGTTTGTTTTCCTGCAGAATACTGGTCACTACGAGCTTCTTAATTACAGTCCTCATGGGACTAGAGTTGACAGCGTTTTATACCGATACGATCACAGCGAGAAAACTGTAAATCATGCACCTCCTCCTCCACTTCTCCAACAAGTCCGAGCCATTATTAACCAAAGAAGAGGCCAGCTTCCAGCCAGGCCTTCTGAAGAAACCATGACAGATACTCCAGGACAAGTGAGTTCATTTTTTTTTTTTTTAATTTCTCTTTCTCACAATCTCTTATTCTTTCTTCTTTTTTTTTCTCCAATTTTTCTCTTAGTCTCTAACTCTGCATCTTCTCTTTATCTCAATTTGTATGTGTATTTTGTTTTTTCCATTGTTGTTAATGATTTTGATTTTATATATAACAGATGGTAGAGTGTCCATGTTAAAATACTGGAGTTTAACCACAAAATAAAGAAAAATGGGAGTAATTTAGGGTGACGCAAAATAATGAAAGCAAAGTATCAAACTATGACATTAAGAGTCGACTGGATATCTTTGTCATGATACTTCCTGTGGATAACTATCATAATTTTTCATATCTTTTCCTTCAGACTTTGACCCGGTGTAACTGTAAATCTGGGAAAGGGAAGACAGGGAGCACATCCAAGGTTACAACATCAGTTCCCCTTGGTAGTGGTGGCTGGGAAGGGGGTGCTGTCCTTCATCATGGATCACATCTTAAATTTGGGTGAGTATTGATATCTTAAATGTCTTTTATTCTTGGTAATCTCATAAAGTTTCTTGTGGCAGACCAGTTCCCTCATTTAATACTACCACCCATCTTCATATCATTCTTTAAACACATTCCTAAGAAATTCAAATTCTTGTGTCTCAGTGGTCTGATAATAAATGGAAATAGATTAGTTTACATCACTGCAATAGTTTTAGAATTTTTAAGGAAACGTTATTAATTAAAATATACAAGGACCATTATTTAAACAACCAATACATGTTGTCACCCTGAACAGAGGCAATGCTTTCTCATGCTTGGTCATTTTTAAAACCTGTCTAACCTTGTAGGAAGCTGGTCATGTGTGCCTATATTTTTCCACATTATACCGACTATATGCTTGGGAACTATTTTCTCGCACAGAAGCTCACACTTTGACTGCAAGCCACAAACTTTGCCTCAATAAATTCGTTGTGAAAGAGCAAAGAACAAATCTGCGAACAACATGGCCTTCTTTACACTTTTCAAACCATGCTAAATACTAGACAGAACTACCCAGCCTGAAATTAAAAAATGAACTAAACCTACAGAAAGGGTCTCAGTTAACTTCAGCATTCATGTTTTGAAGATACTGTACTGTACCTTCCATACTTGTGTATGCAGTTTGACATATTACTTCAAAGCTCCTTCTTTCCATCGTGGAAAATAGAAAGATAAAAATAATTTTCAACACATATATGAACTATAGTTTATACTGTACTGTATTTGTGTTGAAAATTTTGTCTCTAAATTTTCAAAATTGAAAGATAAAACTGATATACTGTACTGAATCTTCAAAGTCCATATATACTGTAGTTAAGAATTATACTGTATTATCAAAATGTAAAAAAAAAAAAATTGTAGTTCTTCCTGTTGGTTTTAAATTTTCAGATTTCAAAGACGACTGAGCCAGCCTTTTCCTATTTGATCTTCGTCTAGTGTTTATGGTGAAAGATTGGTAAAATTAATGTCAAATTTTTTATAAAAAATAGTACTATAAATCCTAGTTCCAGTATTTCAGAGTCTAAGAATATGGAGTTTTTCTACACAGTATTTTACTGAGAAGAAAATGCAAGATAAAATAACCATAAAGGAGAGAAGAAAAAGATACTGGAGAAATTAAGACTTAAGAAAAGAAGAGAAGGGAACCCCAAAAAGTAGTGTGTAAAAAATGGAAAGAGGTGGGACATACGGTAAGAGGTGAGAAAAATATGAGGTAGAAAAGTAACCATGTACATTCTCCTGGAGGCATTTTGACTACAGAAAAGTAAGACCAGTCAGTCTTTTTACTTCCAATAGATTAATACTGCACAGAACAGTATTCATATTTCTCTCTCATTTGCAGATGCTTGCAGTTTGTGTTCAGCATCGTGGAGGAAGCTAGTAAAGCAGATTGGGTGGAAACAACCATTAGTACATACCTTAAATTCTTCAAGCAAGAAGAAGAGGAGCAAGAGGAGGAGGAGGCAGCAGCAAAGGTCAAGGAAGAGGTGGAGGAAGATGACGAAGAGGAGGAGGATGAAGAAGAGGCAGCAAGAAAGGAGGAAAAGAACTCAAAATCGTGAGAAATAAAGTTTTAGTAATTGACCTATTTATACTGAAGTTTCTTGACTGTATAGTTGCAGTACAGAAAGTTGTTTTCGAACAGGAGTGTTTATGAATAAGCGTGAGTAAATACACCCTTGTAATGTTAGAAAGAAATTTATCAGTCTTAGGTAAATTACAAAATTATAAGAGAATTATTTAATAGACTAATAACAGAGTTCTTTGTGGACTCAAATGTTTATTTTGAAAAGTGTTGTGTATGAAGACGGAATTTGTTGAACCTTGCTCCGATGTAAAGAATATTGTTGTAAAAAGTAAAAGTTATTATTTTATTACTAATGACAATGGACAAGAAAAGAAGGAAAATTGTCTATAAATGATGGGGTTGTGAATTTTGTAAAAGAAAAAAGAATCTCCATGACTGATGTGTTCACATATACTCGACCAGTCATATAGAATGCTCTATTACAGGTGAATGAGAAATTTCATGTCATGCCCAAAATTGATACGTTTCCCTACGTTGTCTACCCCTAAACCCGATGATCAGTGGCAGCTCAGCACCTTGGGTTTTGTAATTAATCTAACCAGATAACTGTCATGTATGGCTGGGAGGTTTATGCACAAATACAAAATAGCAATGTAGCCGAGATGTAAAAGTTTTTAAACTAGTACATATGATGTGCTGCCTACTGTTGGTACTCTGGAAGTGTTTTGCCATTTCTTACTACTGATCATCAGACTTTTCATCTGATGGTTGCTTTATCAGCATTTTGTTATATGCATCTTTGTAATTTTATCCAGGTTCTTAAAGAAGATGATGTTGGTACATGGTTGTAGCTTATATTTTCTGTACCAAAAAGCCACTGTGTTACCTAAAGCTCTCAATATTGAACAATCTATATGTATTTTTAGTGCTAATATATTATGTAAATGGTAATGTATATATTACTTAAACTTTAATTCATGTCCTTATACATTAAAGAAATATTGTACATAATGTACAGATTTAATGATGTTATTTTATATTCATAAAGTACACATTACTTCAGTATCCTGTCTTCTTACCTGTGACTGAAGAGTGTTACCGGACCATCTCCCACATACTTTCACTCCACTTCAAAATGTTATTTACTCACACTTTATATACGGGTGTCTGTTGAAGAATGTAGTGGCTGTACACACACTCACCTACACAAAATCACATACAGGAGTGAAATTTTGTCTGGAAACATAAAACATTGATAATGATCTGCAGAAAGAGCTTCAAGGTATTTTTTTAAACCTTTAACATACAATACTCATTATAATTGCATATGATAATAATAATAATAACAACAGGCTTCTTTCATGTCTTGTGTTTTCTTAATTTTTGGAGGAATGTTACAATACTTTTCAACACTGACAAAACTCAAATCTTGGTATGTTGGTGATGGTCATGGTGCATTGTACCTGATATTAGCATGGTCTTATATCAAGTGAAGCATTCTCCGTAGGTGTTTTTTGAGGACTTTCATTCCTTTTCATTTGGAACTGCCTAAGATATTTTCATACAGAAAACAAAACCAATTTCTGCAATGGTCTACATTTTCTACATAAAGCCAATGAAGCAAAAGTTAAAATCACTTGAACTGCATTATATATTCCAGACTACCTAAAAATAACTATGCATATTTTAATTTTTTGGGGTCACAACTGATTATAAATTCAGTTGACTCATGATATACTGTATTCACTATTAATGAATAGGTTTGCTCTTGACTAGTGGAGAAACAATTTACATCATTAATTTATAATCAAATATGTGATGAGCATGAGGGAGTTTTCCGGAGCATACTGATAACACCAGATAATAGAGTAACTGTCAAAACGAGACATGCTTTTATTTTGAAATTATTGAGTATAGAACAATAGAGAAAAGTTAGTGCATCTACTTAAATGACTAATGTTTCCTAATTCCAAACACAGCCTTGGTATATAATTAATACAATTTCCCAGTTTATAAGATCGGTATAAAGTGTATTTTTTGCCTGAACTCTGAGTAGTGCGATTCCAGTCGAGTATTTCTATTTTGTAGTTGTGATTTAATAGAATAAGTTGCATTGATCATCCAGTTCAAACAACCCCTTCATTATGAGTCCCCAGATATATCTTATGTACTACAGGTACTTGCCAATAAATTATTAGAACTGGTTTCCATCTGTATTGTTCAGGCATACTTTTTCACTCAGGTCAGAATTATTTTCAAGTTTAATCCAACTCAGCATTAATTTTACAATATAAATCAAACTCAAAATGTGCTGTTGTCGTAATTTTGTCAGGATTTTTGTTATCCAATCTGTGATAGCATATCTGTACCTGTTGAATATGGGTACAGTATAAGTATTTCTCAAATCACTTCTTTCAGAGTCTACTTCTTTTGGCCTTCCAGTTATGCTTATTCAGGGCATTTTTTTTTTAATAGTACAGTAATTCATGCTAAAATTTAAAGTGCATACTTATTTGTTCCCAGATTCAAAATGTGCATAAAGAATTGATTGGAAAAATAATTAAAAGCATACCTTCTCCAGTCCTTAATGGAGCCACAAAATGAGATTTTTTTTAAAGCAATTATATTCTAGTACAGTATATTTACTTTCTGTATAAAGTATACTTCACTTCTTTAGTGTATAAATGTATAAAACTTTACAAATTTTGCATAGATTTTATGAATAAAGTTATATAGTTGTTTATGCAGCATAATTACTATTGGAGCTTAAATATCTTTATTGGGGGATAGATAGCGCCTGCTTTTCCATCATAAAAAGTACTTTAAAAGTTGCTAACTTAACAACAGGAAACAATATCTATGTAAATATTCAACATTTTATTTTCAATAAGATGTATATTCAGTATCATATATATATATATATATATATATATATATGCGGGGCTTTCACAATGTTTTATCTCAGGAGGTACTGTACTTGTTAGTCATCAGGAGATACTTTTAAGACTGCTTGTGGGCTGCCAAAGTCCTCACATGATTTTAAATGTGACTGCTCTACTGCAATAAACATTTTGCTACATAAAACTTCATAAAACTTTTCTGACTTTGAGGTTTCGTAAAAATTATTACGATTGTTATATATTTTTGCAAGGTCCCACATTTGAGCCAGTACCAAGTGGCAAGTTTAGGTAAGTAAAAGTACTGAATACCAGTCAGTTTTGAAAGCCCTGTATATGTATAGTTCATACTAATTCATCATCAGAGCAATTTAATATTGTGCTGCAGTAAAGTAATATCCTTATTTCCATATTTGCATCCATATTGTCTCCTTCCTATGTAATAATTTACTCAACTGGTTTTTTCCTTCTACTGCATCCTATGGAGCCTAGATCTTTCAGATATACTGTACAATATATATATATATATATATATATATATATATATATATATATATATATATATTCAGGGTGAGTACAGACTAGCTGTACTCACCCCTGAAGATGTGAATTACACAAAGCGCTTGGGAACTTCGTGTTTTCTTCTTCCTTGTGGTTATCAATATACCTAGATCACGCGCACCTACAGTGATTTACTTGCATATATATATATATATATATATATATATATATATATATATTTTATCATACGGTATTTGTTTTCCATCATGAATACCTGGAATGCTGCCATCCAGTAATCACGACTAACCCATACAAGTGTGGAAAATGGCTGCAAAATAATAATAATGATGATGACACTTGCTGTACTGTATAAAACTTGTTTCCCATCTTCGAAATTTAATCGATCACACTTTTTTTCATCTCTAACACTTATTTTCCATCTTCAACATATATTGCACTTGTTTTCCATCATCAACATTTGTATGAACGTTTTTCATAATCTTTTTTAACTCTTTTTACTGATCCCTTCATAGGATGACAATTTTAACATCTTCCATGAAAGTAATGGAAAACGGGCTTTACTATCCTTTCACCCACACTTATTACTATGTAGTATTTAATTGTTTTAATTTCAAGAGGCATTATTTTTAATTCACTGCTGTCACTGTACAGAACTTTGATTTAAGCTACTTAAATAATGAGCGTGTTATACGAGTATCACAAAATCTCACAAGAACGTACTTTTCAGAAAATCTGATTTATTGTTGAAAGTAACTTTAATTATTATATTTACATAGAGTAACCTATATTTATTTTTTCCTTTTTCTTTTAAATTCTTAAAAGGAGTAAAAACAAGAAATGGTTAAAAAGTGATCCATAAAGTTGTAACCGAGTTTTAAAACATTAGTTCCAGTGCACATGTAACAAGTCTCTAAGTAAGGGGTTATAACAAATCGTGAAATTTGTTGAGGGAAGCGTTTTATAAATTTTAACCATGTTTATAAGTTTATCATGAAAATACACAAGTATAATTTTATCTTAGTTTTGAGGATTTTAAATTTTATATGGCCGAGTTGTAAGATAGTTATTTATGGATCACAAAGTGGAATACAGAGTACACAGGTCAAGTATGTTTGAACCTTTGTGTTCTTCAACATTACGTATAAAGTAAATAATCGTTTACCACATCAGTATAATAAACACTTAAGACAAGGTTTCCAACTACTGTAGGTAGGTACAGTACTCAAGTAAAAGTTCCAAATCTGACAATGGCACATCAGTTAGCACTACAAATTAGGAGCAGTTCTGGAATCAATAGGGACCCAAGTTGGTACTTTCTCAAGCATAAGCAAAATGGTTGTACCTACTACTAAGGATGTGGCAATTATACAACACATTTCAATCCTGACGCTAAATGCACCTTCAGTACTTCAGGATAATAGACTGTTTTATTTATATACACTACTTCTTGGCTTTATATTCATTGTAAAAATTAATATGTACTTTTTATATTTTAACTTAAGAGGAAAAATAATCATTTGACCATGACAGAATGACAATTATTTTATGGCATTTCCAACCCAAAAAAGTTATGACATAGTTTTCTCATTTACCACTGGCATAATTTTTCATACAAACAAATCAAATCTTATGAACGGCATTACTGCATAATCTAACTCATTATATTACTTCAAGAATGGCCTTGAGAAAACAGCCTCAAAATCTCACAATATACGCAAACTCACTCACTCTCGTCTTTCCAGTTGTTTCTCATTTTCCCTCGTTTCTCTCTCCACTTGTCTCGAGTTCATCTTTTTCAATTCTTTCACTTTTGTCTCCTCCCTCTCCTGTTTCCCCCAATGTATCACACCAGAAGTACAAAGTGGAGACCAACTACTCCAGGCAATGAAGGCTTGTTTATATATTTTTGTCTAAAGTGTAAGTGTATTCAGTTAAATGTAGACTACATGTAATTAAGTAGTTGGTCTTCATCCAATATATATTAACTATGCTGACTCAGCAAAACTTTATTAATGGTGTGTGAATTGAGAAATGTTTTGTAGAATATTTGAGAATTTGTTATATGAACTACATTATCATGCAAAATGGTCTTATAGACTTTACAAAGTATTTAGGTTTTCTAATGCAAATGTAGTACAATCCCTTTCCTTAACCATTGTAATGACTTGTGACGGAGTCACCAGTTTACGTGTTATCAATACATTGTGAAATAGCGGTCTGAAATTTGGGTGAATTATTATATTGTTTAAAAAAATTATGACTGCTAATTACATGGTAATTGTTCAAAATATTTGTTGCTTTGTCTTTGAAACTTACAAGAGGTGAATTTTTTACATGATATGATAAAGGTATTGGACACTACCACTCATTCTGGAAAAGATTGGTCTACATTTAGCACCAGCTATCTGTTTCATGATGGTGGTTTGATGATATTCTACATTACGACCCTTTATTTTTAGTAACACTTTAGGGTTATAGGACTATTACTGCTCCAATCTTCCTCAAGGTCACTAAGATTGTGTGCATGCATTCATAATCCTTTAGTGCTACTTGAGAATCCAAGCTTCGTAATCTTCATGTTGCTCCCATCCCAAGTTCTTCCTGCACTTTTACTTGGTTTCAATGAAAAGGAAAAGCTCTTAAATTTTACCATTTTAAAGCTTACTCCTTGGGGTTCAAAAAATATTCTTTCAGCAAATGTGCATTTACTGCTTTTAAATATACCTGTACTTGTTAAATAAGAATTATTAAAGTTTAAGGGATGCCAATATATAAAATAATTGTACAAATTTTAAATACAATAGCTTCACATATTTTCCAAAATAGTTTCCTCAAATGGGTTTTTTTTTAACCAAGGAGTGTATTCATCTCAAAGAGACTGAAAAACTGTGACAAAGTTACAGTGGCATTCTTCTCAGCCATTCTGACCCAACATAGGATATAGGAAATTTTTTTATAATCTAACATGTTGCTATAGAATGTAGACCAGTGTTAGGATTTAGCACAATACACTATGTGATTATTTACTGATTATTTTCTTTCCCTAATAGAAATGTATCACCAGTACAGAAATAAATACTGTACATGGTCAACGGAAATGACTGAAGCTCCTTGAAAAGGGAACTTGACCATGACCTGTGACACATTATGACATTAAAAATATTATCCAACTTACTGCAATGCATATACTGTTTACATTTTCATTTGAAATTTCCATGGGTTAGAAGTTGCAGACAAAATAAAGAGACAGATGGGCAGACAGACACATGATATAACTAAAGTTATGCTTTCCCAATTTCAGGAAATATAAACCAACATTTATCTCTTAATGTATGCTATTTCTATTACCTGCATTCAGAGCAGGATGATACCAGTAGAATTCTCCCCAACTCTCTTGTAACCAACAAATTCTATCCCTCCTGTGACAAAGACCTTACAGTAGGGTCTCAAAGTACGAGTCCAGAGTATGTGAGCCTGCTTATATAGTATGTGGGTGATCCGCCCTTATGCGTGGGACTTGGTCTTGCACGAGCCAACCCACCTAGCATCTCTTGCTAGCTTCAGCGTCTTATGTGATAAAGAGTTTACCCACCCAGCATCTCCAGTCAATTCATTGTCTATAGCGTGAGAATCGAATATACCCACCCAGCGCCCCTCTTATTTATCATACAACTTCATATATTGTTTTATTATTTTAACACATAGTATTTAATAAATTATCCCTTTTGATGGCGTAGCTGGTTGAGCTTATTGCCTAAATAAATTATGACTAATAATAATCTCACTAGCTAGTTCATGAGCCTCATGCCACATCTCACCAAGATGTCACCGAAGCTTCCCCCCTCCCCCTCGCTCTGGTTCCGTCAACCTCTCCCACGCGTGCGCACTCGTAAAGTTTTTCCTTTATTCTTTATTGTTGAGGAAGAGGACCAGGGATAAACATCCCTCATCATGCTGTACCACTAGTGCACTTCATCACCATCTCCATCTGTTCAAGTAAGCCTTTTTTATTTTACTTTTATAAAATGAGCCCCCGAATTGCCTTAAGAACTATTATTATTTTTGAAGTCCAACTTCAGCCCTTAATATCCAACCTATAATGTATGTTACATAATCTTTCTTCCTCCCAGGAATTTATTTTTTTATGACATGGTCAGATTAAAACAGTATTTTTTGTTTAATTTTGATATTCACCTGTTAACGGTTATGATTGTTAGTGGTGAGCACTGTCCTTAAAGGGTTAAATTTTTCATTGTGTGAAAACTCAAGTTACAAAATATTATTTTCAGCAATGATGACCTTAGCTTTTGACCCAGTGACCCCAAAATTTACAGGGAAGTTTCTTCCCCTACGAACAAGGTTACTACAAAAAAAAATGTATTCATCAAAGCATAGACACCTATACATGTATTAATATCTGGAAACTAAAATTGTAGTTGTAGCATAAATCTTAACATTTGAACCAATAACTAATATCAATACTGTATATACCTTCCTTTCCCCAGGGGTAAGGTATCTGTGCAATGTGTTCATTAGTTCATGGCTTACCATATGTCACAGAAACCAAAATTAGATTTTGATTATTGACAGAAACTTTAAACACCAACAGTGATAGGGATCTTTCTTTTCCTTAGGAGCAAAATACCCGTAAAAAATATACATTATTTTATTGGTGCCTGGATAACTTGAGTTATGATTTAAAGACAAAAATAAAAGTTAAAGAAGTAAAAGGTCTTAACCACTGACCCAGTGATCTTAAAATGAATATGGACCCTCATATTACTGGGGGGCGTGGGATCTAGCCAATATCATTTTCATTAGCACAAGAAAAGGTGAATTACATCTCAAAAACCTAAATCCTAACAAAGGCACCACAATACAGTTCTACACTTTGCTTTTTGTTGGCATACAAACATAATTACAGTAAACCCTTGATTATCTCGATTAATTGAAGGGCAAGTTTATCAAGAATACTGTATCACAATTGTATAGAGTATTTGGGGAGTGTTTTCTAGGACATGATGCAGTAATGTAAACATGGTAACTCCAGCTTCTCTACTCATATTCTGTTCCATTATATTCTTGCACTTTCTAGTAGAGAATCCATATGGACTATGTGGCATCTAAATTAAGTGACAAAATTGATGGGGCTAATTTTTCCTAAAAGATCAATAATGGGCCTGATTAGGTCCAGATTACCCTTTTTTTTTTAATATATAAATAAAATCAGAGTAGCGAGGGTTTACTGTACTGGTAGAATCATTTAAAAAATAAACTTCTGTTAAATGTACAAGTATTTATTTTACAAGTATAAAGCCCCTAGGGAAGTTACCAGTTTCCTTAGTCCTTAAACAATACAGTACACAGTATTAGGTAGTAATATTAACTGAAATTATTAGAAAATGCTGAAGTCATTGAAGCCATATGTTGATTCCTTCTTTTTCTTCTGCTGATGTGTTGCTACATTAGCCTCTTCTTTCCTGCAGATATGATACCAAATGACACACACTGGTTATGGAACTAGGGGAGATTCTGCTAGCTCAAGGGACTGATTTCTGCATGATGAGGAAATTGAGGGCGTCTTCGAATTGTGATATGTAAGTATCTACAGTGAGTCAATAAAAACATTGTAAAATAATAAAAAAAGATGGGGGGTGATGGAAGACAATATTTACTCAGAGTTCAGGGAAAATGCCAACAATATTAACACATTCATAACTTTGCTTCACTTCCAAATTCTACACTTTCTTTTATAATACTACCACTTTATTGTTCAAAATTAGCATACGAGATTTAAGAATACAAAACAATTTTCTTTTATTTAATTTGTCACATATTAAATGAAAGTAAATGAGGAGAAATTGAATGATCAGGTAACTGGCTAAGTGACTGCTGGTGGAGATGAATCTACTTGTCCACAGTTAGTTACAGGAGTTATATACTGTACTGTAATTATTGTAGGAGATGATGACACACTGACAGCTTATTTGTAGATTTAATAAAATTTTTAGTGTTTGAGAATAACGAAGTAAGTTTGTGAAATAAGTAAGCATATTCGTAGTACAGTAGTACTGTAGTAAAAAAAAGACACTCACGACACTGATGCCACAGACAAGTCTAAAAATTTGCCCACTCCAGAACGGAACACTTTGAGCTGATCATCTTTAATCTTTGGACGTTTTCGATTCTTCAACTCATCTTCTTCAGCTTTTCGCTTCTCAAAGTCAATTTTTCGCTCTTTTGCAAGCTGTAATGAGATATTATGTATAACATATAATATATCTGTTATACAAAATCATATTAACTATTGATTCCGTAAAAACTCTTGTAGTTTTTTGCAAGAGATATAAAGGAACAACAAGGTTTAACTACTGTAACAACTAATAATAACAAAATGCAATTAAAACAAAACTGTGAATACTCAAGTATTTCATAAATGCTGTCGAACCTGCTACCCACTTTAAAAGTCCAGCCGTCTATCTTACTCTGGTGCAGTGTCAAAGGAGTATGTAAACATTAGGCATGACCTTGTGCAAGCATAAACCTTGGTCCAAGTTTCAGTCTACAAAAACCCAAAAATTTTACTCTCAAAATTCAAGCACCAGGAATAAAATAAACTCACTCAAAGCACTTAATACCCAATGACTTTCAATGTTATTAGGGTAAGTGATAAAAACATCATCATCATCACTATTATTTTACGGCCTTTTCTCACACTTGTGTGGGTTAGCCATGGTTACCTGATGGCCACTCTGCATAGTCTCTTGCAATCTCTCTTGCCAGGTTCCCAAGTCTAATGTTTGTTGCAATCTCTCTCCAGGTCATTTTTTACATGAGTAATAGTGAAAAGAAATCAATCTATTACCCACCTCCTCATCAGCTTCCTTGAATGGGTCCACAAAAATAGATGTTTCCTCCAAAATAATATCTTCAATTGGAGAATCTTTATTATCAGTTTCAATGGCCTCCATGGCAGACAATGTTGCCAAACCTCCAACTACACGGCCAAATATTGTGTGCTTGCCATCAAGATGGGCACACGAACGATATGTGATGAAACTGCAATAGGATAGGTACCGTTACATTTACCATACAATATGCTATATACCTCAGTATTGAACAGATACTGTGGTCTCGGCCTACACAGATTCCAAAATATAAATGGAATTTATATTTGTAAACAAATCTAGAATTTTTTTTTTTTTTTTTTAGAGAACGCAAGCCTTGTCAACAGAAATGTAGTAAGTGCTGTGCTCCTCTTAGTAAAGTGACCCTGCTACCTGACTTTAGTCCACCTTACACCACCACCATCCCAACTAAAGTCTCTCCAAGGGACATTTCATTTAGCAGCTTAATAATCCTCCCATGCACAGTTACCAGATTTTGCCTCACCTGACCTCACACTTTACCACATGACCACCCAGCAAACTCCTCCCTCAAGGTTCAATCAGCAACAGAATACCTCCCCATCCCCTTGTGTCCTGCCAACTTTTGCAATCTATTAGTGTATTCCAACTCAGGTTCTGCTCCTGGTCATACTGGCTGCCATGCCGTGTGAGAAGAAAGTCCTATATATTCATTCATGGTGTTCATACATATTCCCAGCTTTAGAGACCACATATTATCAGGGGTTACAGTATTACTAAGAAAACCAATCCCTTTAGGTTCACTTGTAACTCCATCTCGTAGAACTGAAACAAAAAATGAAGAAAAGATCAGGGAAAAAACAATAAAGAAATACAAAAAAAAAATTAAAAACGAAACAGGAAAGAAAAAAATATATATAAAAAGGAAAAGTAAAGGGAGAAAGAAAAGGGGAAATATGTGAAAGTACAAATCTCTCACAAGTATAACTCACAACTGACTCTTGTTGGTATTAGGTCCAGAGTTGGCCATGGAGAGCACGCCTCGACCTTTATGAGACAAGTTAGGGCGAAATTCATCCTTGAATGTGCCTCCCCATATACTTTCTCCACCCTTTCCAGTGCCTTCTGGATCTCCACCTTGTATCTACAATAAACAAAATGGCATAAAAACAAAGGATTAAAAAATATGAGATCCCATTTTATGACCAAGGAGAAGAAGCAACATTGGAGACCTTTCCTTCTAAATCACCTCCAAACACAACACCAATGCAAATAGTGCTACCCAATGAGATATCATGATGTGCAAGAGGGTTAAGATGTGAGTTTAAAATTTCTCATCTCCATTATAATGTAATGAGTTTTCAATAATGAAGCAAAAATAATGTGGCTGATAGAATTGTACAACACCTATAATTAAATTTTGAACCCAAAGTCCTAATGGGCCCCAAACTTGGTATAAATATGTTCATGATAATAACAGCAAGAGTTTTATTTCTCAAATGTTCAGCTCTATTTAGATGGAAAAACAACTCATTAGTGCTTAACATATAGAAAGGTTTATGATACCAATAGCAGAGATAATTGTTAGGCGATACAGTAATTTATAGTGTGTAGAGTTGAATTTTTTTAACTAAATTTTAAATACTTGGGTGTATAGTAAAGTTCTGCATCTGTCAGCTGAAAAGTTTGGGACCAAGAGGCTTCTATGAAATAGATAATTACTTAAAGTGGCTACTATCATAAACATTTGTCCAAGGAAAGCATGTAATAAACCATAGTACTTGTGTCAGTTTATTGAATTATTAATTTCAGAAAATACCTGTACACTAACCTATTTTGTTATTCTGTTACTCTCAATATTATTAAGTCTGCAAATAAGCTTTCAATGTGTCATCCTTCTCTTACATCACCAAAGAACTTACTCCCATATACTCACATGAAGACATATCACTCACACCATCACACACAGTCACTGGGCCAGTTACCAGATTGTCCAATTTTTATTTGTTCTCATGTATTATGTGGAAAATTAAATGAAAGGAAATTATTCTATTTTACTATACTTTACTATACTGTAGTAGCTTCCTGTATAAATGATTTTTAAATTTCAGGTCAGTAAGTCATGCCTGCTTCCTCACCATAAAATGACGAATTGAACGATGAAACTTAGTGCCGTTGTAGTATGCCTTGTCACAGAGTCTTAAAAAGTTTTCTGAGGCTCTGGGCACTGAGTCACAGTTTACTTCCAAGTTCAGAGTGCCAAGGTTAGTTTTCAGTGATACATATCCTGTAATAATTGAAAAAAGGGTCTTAGCAGGTACTGTAGTCTTTAAAATATACAGTAATACATATTAGGCATAAACAAGTACTGTACATACATTATAAACAGTGACTCCAAAAATATGACCCCACTGTAACCTTGTCTTCAGATTTTATAGAAGGGAAATGCTTTAAATTTCCTAAATGGTGTAAAGAAGAAATACTGACAAAGAAACCTTGATATTTAACCTTTAGAAAATCACACCATTAAAATACACATCTTCAGGGGCCTAATTTGGTGCCTATGTAAAGTCTTTAATATTCAGCCAATGAGCTGGCATTTTGAATCTCATCCTGGTACAAAAACACCAATCATATCATATCCAGTAGATTTTGCAGCCAGTTGACAGACTACTGTACTTTCTAAGATCCTGTGTACTGTTATTCTTATTTTTGCATTGCATTACATCTTTCCACCAGTATAAAGTCTAGAAACAATGTACACATTACATAAAAGTGACTCCAAGACACTTTATATTCAAGCTACCTTTTTTCTTAACTCGTTGGTACCTTACAACATCATCTTCCAGCACTGCAGCTTCATGCTTGGTCTCCACGTCAACAGAGGTTGAGGTAAAGCTGGCAGATACCTTCCCAGTTGAGTAGTGGGCCTGCAATAGTGAAGAGTTCACTGCAGTTAGTGAGGTCCAAAGTTTATGAAAGGCACATTTAAATGGTTCACTACACAGAGGACACACTGAGCATTAAAAATTTGCAATATAAAGTGTAACTGATAAAAGAATATATATATATTCAGTATACAGATTATTAAAGAATTTTCCATAATAAAAACATTACTACAGTACTGCTTGACCCAGTCCAGGTCAGTAGGTTTAAAATATATAAATAAAAAGGCAACAAGGTTAATAAGATAGAAAGACAATTCCCCCTAAATTATGGAAAACTTAAAAGAAGTGGAACCATGGATATACATCAGTTCTCAATACATTATACACACTCCCACCCCATGTATTTTCACATGCAGTATACAAAATCTATACACAGATGATCACTTCTCACTATGCACAACATAATCTAATTGAAAAGCATTTCTTCTTGTACACCATTCTGCTACAGTCTGTGCCACTCCGCTAAATAGGGTTCACTGTGTTGGCAGTGTTCCTCTGCCAACCCAGTGTGTCAGGTCAGGTAAGTGTCTTTATCAAGTAACTTCTATTGTTGGTCATTTTATCCTGTTACTTTGTTAAATGAAAAAAAATCCTAAAGTTCTGATTTTCTTTTTTATATCATCAGATTCTAATAATACTGTACACACAAAGTAGCTTTAATGATGCACAAAGTTTGTAATAATTCACACTAAAATAGCCAATGGACCAATCTAATAGCTTAGTATGGCCTTCCATCTCACATTTGTTTTTGTTTTTCATTTTGTCATTCTCAACTCATGTATTTTCAAAAACTCACATTTCCTGCTGACATCCTTTCTAAACCCTTTAACATTCATCATCTTATCTTCAGGCAAAACACTAATTTCCCTAAGAAAGTTTACTGTACATTAATAGTATATTCCCTTCAAATTCTCTTAATGGTGTTCTTTTAATCTCTCATACACACTGTGAATGTTCCAGTTGCTGTAAGTGTTTCTACAAATCATTTTACAATAAAATTCTCAACTTACAATAGCCATGCCCATCTCACCCCCACTTCTTCCAGATATGTACTAATGATGCAGGGTAGCCAGGTTCATGAACAAACACAGATCTCCTCTCATATGATGTTATTCATGACATATTATGCTTTGGTGTTCCCCTTATACATCAAGGTCCTATCATATTCATTGAGATGAACAAAATACTGTATCACTACTCCTTACTGCATTAAACTTATCTGCAACTCTTTCTTCAGCCTCTTCTTTATTATCTGCTTCTTTATATGTGCGTTTGAATTCATCCAAAATTTGCTTTGTGTCTTGTGATACATTTTTCAAACGCATCGATGCATCTGAGCGCGCTTGAACTGTTTCTGTTAGAAAGAAACCAGATTTTAATCAAAAGCCAACTTAATCATACTGTACTGTACTGTACATGCACTCCTAGGGGATTAACTTGATTTATTGTGCCATACAGTTCATTGGTGTGATCTTGAAACTTCCAGAAAACAAAAAGCTATCAATATCTAGAACATAAAGATTATAAAACTAAAGATAATTGCAGAACACTGAATCTCTGCACACTTCTGGCAAAAAACAGGTTAAGGATCTAAAGGATCTAATATGGTTTAACCAGGAGGAAAATAAATCCTTCTAGATTAAAATGGAATTACCAATACTGTAGTTAAAATAATGAAAAAAGCAAGCTCCCAAATGATCTGTATTCTGGTTATAATAGAATATAGGCCTACTGTAATCTTGATATCAATAGGTAAAGTCTTGAGAGAGAAATAAAACAAAGACCTAGTTTGTGATTATCATATATTACATCACAAATAAATTAGCCCGACACTGCATCCCAAGATGGTTTAGTCCGTCAAGGAATTAGACAATGCAGAGGCTCCCTTTTTGGACTGAATCCAAAGTTATTCCTGAGAGTGTGTGTGAAGACCTTCAGAGCTATTTTCAAGCTTAATATGAACGTCTTTGACCTGGAGGTATTACTTCTCAAACATATACAGTACTAGAAAACATAGATGAAAATTTCTGCCTTTAACTAAATAGGAAAAATTTTTACCTTCATTTTCAACCTTGAGGTTATCTTTGATGTGATGAAATTTGCTGATGTTATACTTGCTTAGGTCTTGTGGGTTCTGAATGATGATAAGGTCTTCTCTAGTGAATGGCTTGTCTGTAAGCAGCTCTCTCCAGTTATTAACCTTAATGTTCAGTTGTTCTACAGCCTGCACACATAAAAGAGATGAGAAAACTTTGCAACAGGTAGATATTTCTTGGTGGATTATTCATGAAGTTACTGTGTGTGAGATCTGAACAGCTAAATCAAACCCTTGGTAGAGCCAGACAGTGCTTCTGCTTTAAGCATTATTTATTTACTCATTCAAGTCTGGGAGAATGAATCAAATCATAAACTATTTAAAGATAGGAGCCCGTATGACTCAGGTTATACAGATGACAGTCTAAGTGAATATACAGTACTCTATCGAATAACATTTAATATTCATACATTTAAAGGATTTAAAATTTTGTTGCATATGTAAGATAGGGGGGAGGGAGGATGTTGTGATCTACAGTAGGAGAGCATCACCTGTATTTAATACAGTACTGTATTAAAATTTAACTTTAACATACTTCATATGAGAAAACATTCCCAGTAGCTTTCACAGCTACAACATGGGAAGTGTTGGTGAGAGGTTTGTACAGCACAGGACAGTGGTACTCCCCAGTGGCTGCACGATGAAAGGTTACCTTTGTCAACTGTTTTTCGCTTAAAGGCTGTGAATAAAATATAAAATAGCATTTGAAGTCAAGATTATTCTAAATACATCTCATAAGATAAAAGGCTTATTGATTGACTTTCAATTATATAAAATTATGCAGAACAATGCTTTTTCGAACACAATCTGAGAAAATGAAAGGATTTATATAATAAGATTCAGTCAGAGATAATGTAAAGTGCAGTACAGTGAATGCTAATTTAATACATTCACATCACCTATCTAAACCAAATTTCCATACCATTATCTGACTCCCAACTTATTTTCTTCAGTACATCCTTCCAAAGATCATATAAAAACTGACAAGTCTCTGTTTCAGGAGGAAAATTACTTACCTCCCCTGTAACTGGATTCACTTTGAACTTGCGTAAAAATGGAAGAATGGCCTCAAGGTCAAATACATTTCCCTTGGGGTCAATGTATGGGTGACTAAAAGGCAATAGAGAGACAGCACAGTGGGTTAAGGGTAGCCTTCGGAAGTTTGCTTTTGCCCCTGCATGGGATGAGGCCTTGTACCCACCATACAGTGTTGACCACTCCGTAGAGGTCAGGTACCTGGAATATGATGACAAGATTGGCACCTGCTCACACAATACCCTATAACACTGTATAACTGGCATAGGTACAGAAACATTCTGGAACCAGTACATGACCAATACTTTCAAACAGTGTGTAACAGAGACATGACCAACCACCAAATCGGCTAAGAGGATAAAGAATTTTTCCTTATCTTGAAAGTCCTGCCCACTTTGTGAAAATCATAGTCATATCAACATAAATACTGTATACGTCAGCTTAAAAAATAAAGGTAATTACTGTATTCGTTTTTAGCCCGTTCCCTTCTTTTGATGTGAGAAATTGTTTTTCTGGTGTGTTTAAGTCAAATATGACCATCATTTCTTGTGAAAATGAGCCATTTCTCTAGATTATCGACAAAACCCCCAAAACAGTCATTTTCACAAGAAATGATGGTCATATTTGACTTAACCACACCAGAAAAACAATTTCTCATATCAAAAGAAGGTAACCTAACCTAACCTACCTTTGCCGACCGAACTGCAGCTAACCATGACCGCACAAGAAACGATACTCTTAAATATAGATTTGTAATTAAAATATATATATATATATTGGGTAGTCAGAAACACTAGATGAGGAATAGGTGACAGACGAATATTAACCCATCAAAAACAACAAGATAAACCTACTTTTGTCAGTTATTTCTGATTATGTACTCCACTGAATCTTTACCCTTAAGTTTTTTTTGCTCATTCCAGATCACTGTACAGTATTACCATTTAGAATATCCAAGGCAACATCATGAAAGTCGAGCACAATTTTTCTTTTGAAGTTTCTAGGAAAAAAATCATCTAGGACATTATAACTGAAGATAAAAAATCATCTAGGACATTATAACTGAAAATAATACCCATCTTAACAATAACATATCACCAATTACCAATTATACTTACATTTTATCTTTCTGGTGTTGTCTCTTCCCCATTTTGCCTGTTTAACTGAGACCTCTGTATATATAACAAAATCCTTTACCTTACCTAAAACTCACACAGAATTTACCATTAATGTTTATTGTGATTCACGTAATGTTGCCTATAACATATTGAACAATCTTAAGGCTGGGAGATATAATAATGACAAATAACCCAGCCAACACGTCTACTCTCCCTCTCTCTCTCTCTACTAGACACACTGAAGGAACAACAGCGGGTTTAGAGGAGTATTCAGACCTCAGACTCCTTTTATCTCGTAATATTCTTAAATTTGTATTAATATCACAATCTATATTAGTGAAAGACTACTTTTAATAACATATGGAGGTGTATAGTACAGTGGTTTGTCTGGTAGAGGTTTGAGTTGTAAATAAGGCTCTATTATTTTATTAGCATCATGGGCTCGTTATAGAGTTTAAGATCTGGCGTCATTATCATCCTTTTCACCACTATTATAGCCTAGATAGAGCAACAGGTACAGTATACAATATAATAGAGAATAGTAAGGTAATTTGACCAAGGATAACCGATATAGTCATCAGTCATTAGATTTGTAAGCCTATGTCTACGTCTATTTCAAATTTTGTAGTTTCTTATATTCAATTAAGTATTTAAATATCTGCAGGTCAGTGTGGATATTTTCTCTAGAACTATCCTTCAAAGAGTTATAGCTGAGGGTCACGAGAAATGACTGAATAAAGACTGGACAGATTAAGATATGTACAAAACCATCAGTATTTGCTAACAGCGCCACTAGTCCCGTCCAATTAGTACCAGCAGGTGGATGAACAATCTGAATATACATAAAGCTGATATTTCCATCTAGAATACATGCACTTAAGTTTATAGTTGCTGTGTTATATTTAATTAAAAAAATGAGCTTGGCACTCGGAAATTCCTAGTGCCAAGCTCAACTCTGTAAAAAAAAAATTAACCTATTAATGTTTAATTATTTTATAAATTTTTCATATACATTTAAAAATAATAAAGTTTACTGTTTTCTTGTCTCTATGTAAGTCGATATATATTTTCCAATTATTCCATAAATCCCAGACGAGTTGTTTGTTATGAAGTAAACGTTAAGCGTCCCGGCGCCTGCCCACAATTTTTTGAAAGGAGTTTAATATCCACAAACATCATGAAACTCGTAAGGTTAGTAGGTCTTATTAATAAAATAAAAGTATCAAAGGTGAACGTAGATGATATATAAATGATGTATCTTTAATAAAATCCCGTATAGGTTACGTTTGGGAGAATAAATATTTCCGGTATATTTTCCGACCATTTGAAGGTTCATAATGCTATCATGATTAAATGCTAATAACTATGAGAATGATTGTTATCTTTTAGGCAATTATGGACGTTCCCGAGATAGGTATAGCTTTATTAGACCTAGAAGTATAATGTAGGTAGAGTTGTGTTACAGTATCAAGAGTGGCGATCGGAAGTTTATCTTTTGATTGGATTTTTTTAAAGTTTGGGTAGAATTACACTAAAGCACATCTAAATTAGTTATATTAAGACTTGTACACACACACACACGATGAGTTTTTACCATCAATAACTGGCATTTTGGCTGAGGGAAACGTACTAGGGTATGGTGATTTGTATTGTGCTTTATTATTACTCATGTCACTGTTAGTAGGAATTACACTACACTTGGACGAATTCCACCAGGATGGCCATTTGTTTTTATGTAGTTTAAGCTAACCTAACCTAACATAATAATCTAAGGCAGGGGTTCTCAACCAGGGGGGAATTCAGGTTTTCAGGGGGGGAAAACTGATTCGGGAGCAAGAGATATGTTCGATGAGAAATCAATCACAGAATTTTGGCCCTTGATGTGCGATTCCTACCCAAAAGTGGCAGAAAGAGCTATCCGTGCATTGCTTCCGTTTGTGTCGACATATCTTTGTGAGTCAGGCTTTTCAACTCTGTTGCAAATTAAAACGAAGCAACGTATTAGATTAGAGGTAGAAAATGACCTGCGTTGTGCCCTTTCAAGCACTCCTCCGCGTATCCCAGAATTGGCGAAGAAAAAACAATCACAGGTTTCTCATTGACTGTAATCTTCATCTGAATAAAATTAATTACAAATTTACATTATCCTGGTATTCTATTGAACTTTTTGTTTATTGCATTATGCTTCAGTTTGGTCTGTTAAGTAATTCATTATAAATATAAAAAAAACTATTTTACTTTTATTCAAGTTTTATAAATCCATCAACATTTTCAATTGGCATTTAATTTGTAAAACTCCACTATAAAAATAATCCATGTAAAATTGTAAATGTATATGTACTAATATGGAAAAAATAAAGGATTTTCAGTATTATATGCATATTATTTGGAATGCACTTTTTGAGGCAGACAATCTTGGAAAGGAGGGGGGAATGACATTCTGACATATGGTGAAAGGGGTGCATGGGGCAAACAAGGTTGAGAACCACTGCTCTAAGGAGTACAGCAAAAATTGCATAAAACAAAATCTCACTGCGTTGACAGCAGGAAGTGTGCGGGAAATGAAAACAAACTTAATCAGAATTATATCAGGTAATTATATAGGACTAACTCGTGAGCGAAATTGATTGAAAACAATTATAAAAACGCCGGATTTTCATTGTTCTATTATAGTGGACACTGTTGTAGTTTGTGGAACTATGCTAAAAAACGGATATCTTTAAAATAAATGCTACTTTGCATTTGTGGTTATGAAGAACAGACCTAACCTTACCTAAATTCCCCGGTATATTAAACAGAAAGAACTTACTATGATATGGTGAAATTTGAGGCATTCTCTGGATGTGAGATGATATGGCCGCATCGGCGTTATGCAGCCCCGGTGGGTTAGTCCTATATATTAAACCAGATGTTACCAGTTGTGAACCTAGTGCTGCAATTAGATTTTATTTACTGTGGTGTAGAGTAATATGGTCTTTTTCTTTTCTATTTTTAATTTTTTCACCCTCCAGGCCCCGTTATGGGTCGATGACCTGTGCCCGGGTGGGCTATTCCCTGTAAAAAAAAATTAAATAAATAAATACGGTATATAAACATATATGGTACCGAGGATAATACATAAAGTGTTTATAATAAGAATTAAGAGTTGGTTATAAACTCATTTTGGTAAAGATCGTTAGTGTCCGTAATGGGAAGTTAATAACTAAAATGGAAAAGATAATGTACAGAACCTGACCTAACCAACCAAACCTACCTAACTATACCTAACTATACCTAATTACCAGTGCTGGACAAATTGTACTCAAGCAAATCGTACCCATCAGAACATGTCAAGTCGTACCCAATTACAAAATGACTCGTACCCAATTTACGAGACAGTTCGACAGTTCGTACCCATATACTGTATATATATATATATATATATATATATATATATATATATATATATATATATATATATATATATATATATATATATATATATATATATATATATATATATATATATATATATATATATATTCTAAAATGTAGATTTTTTTAATCTGTTGTTTTTTATGGTGCTAGCAACAAGACTGGTATTCAAGGTTACAGTTTTCCAAAACTCTATTGAGATAAAATCTAAGCACAGTTGGGGGAATGTAAGTGTGTCATTGCAGTTGTGTGTGTTTACATAACACACACACACACACACATGTACTGTACTGTATATCTTACAGTACATCTCATCTGTTCATATAGCACGTGGACTTCCATATACAAACAATACCTCACTAGTCTGGTATCGAACCCTGGACCTCTGCGTGTGAACAGGGATCAATTTCCGACTAATGAGGTATTGTTTGTATATTGTACAGTATATATGTACACAGTATACTGTATATACCAGTTATACAGTGATATATATATTTTTCTTTACTTCACACAGGTTTCTTATGAAGCTTAGTCATGAGACTGTCACCATTGAGCTGAAGAATGGCACCCAGGTGCAGGGTACAATTACTGGTGGGTATTATGAGTTTTGCATTTTGTGATTAGGGATTGAGATTCTTTTATTTCTATACCCTGCAACATGAAGAGTGTGCGATATTGTGTTATCTTGGCAGACCAACATTTATTTGTCCATTTCTCCATCTTACATTGTCAATTGATTGTCTGAAACAAGTCAAATCGTATTTAAACTTTATACATATGTTCGTAAGATCTTGGTGAAGTTTGTTATTCAGGTTGGTAGTATTGTCAACTGCTTCAGAGAATTATACTTCTCTCATGTCACTAATTGTTTTCATTCAATAGTCTCTTGATTGCCTATACCAGGTTATATCACATTTAGAATACAAGCGTATCTTTAAGAGAGTTGAATTCTAATTTATTAATTTATTTTTATTTTAGGCAATTGTCTGTATTAGAGTTGAGCTCTATTAACATTACATTTTTTTTGCAAGTAAATTGTTTCCATCAAATGTCATTAGAACATAACCAAATCAAGTCATATAGTGTGTGCAAATCTTTATAATATCTCTGTGAAGTTCATTTTTAGGGATTTTCTTGATGACTAGTCACTTATGGACAAGTGCAAAGTACAAGTTATGGCATGTCATGTACTATATAATCTTATACTATATAATCTTATACTATATAATCTTAATATGAAATTGAAATAAAAATTTTCTTCACACAGGTGTGGATGTGGCAATGAACACTCACTTAAAGAGTGTGAAAATGACCCTCAAAAATCACGATCCGGTTAGTTATGATACTCTGACCATAAGAGGCAACAACATTCGTTATTTTATCTTACCAGAGTCTCTCCCACTAGAAAATCTTCTGATTGACGATGGTCCCAGAGCAAGGAGGGGGCGGTCAGATCGAGGACGTGGTAAGTGTTTACTATACCGTATACATAAACATCTTTACTATATATAGTACTACTGTACACAATACATACCTACAGTATAATGATTACCAATACAAATTAGATGTAGTACATAGTATGTAGGTATTAGTTTACTTTATTATTATTGGTTGTGGTTTATTAAGACTACTGTATTGTTATACTGTACAGAATATGTAAATGAAGCTTAAGCTGGTGTTTTGTTACCAAGTTGACACCTGTCATATTTGTAATTACAGGTCTTGGTGGTCGGGGTCGTGGGCGTGGCGGACGTGGACGAGGTCGTGGTGGTCCACGAGGCAGAGGCCGAGGTGGTCCACCACGCCGTTGAGAGAGTTTAAAAGTGAACAGTTTGTACAAAGGATGTGACAAACGATGTGTGAAGTGTGTTGATTTTTTTATGTCAGATTTTGGATGGTGTCAAAATGAAGCATTCATTTTTAGTTGCTGTACACAATAAATATTTGAAAAATAATACAGTACAGGAAAATTCTAGTTTTCATCATATCAGTATAGAATCAATTTTTAAGTTTTCTATGCTGTTGATGATTTTTAAGTGCATCATTCATACCTGTAAATTTCTTCATCCATTTGGTGAGAAAATGCTTGAAAGTAAGAAATAAATGTTACATTCATATATTAAACACTTGAAGCTAAAGTAATACATTACTGTGTTTGGCTGAATCAAGAGTTTTGATAATTTCTTTGTATGTGTAAGTATTTTATGTCATTCCTGTTCAATATGAAATAGGCTTCATGTTCCAAAGGAGTTAGCATAGTCATTTATGTGAATGTAAAGTCATTACACCACAGTCACATTTTTGGTAACTGTCAAAATATATAATTAAGTTTTGTATTAAGAAATTAGTTTGATTGTCCCCCTTTCAAAGTGGATATTAAGTTAATTCACCATGGCATTTAATAATGACTTAAGGAGTGTATAGTAGTATTTAGATCTTTGAATACTGTAGTACAATATCTGCTTATAAGGCCAAGGCAGCTGGTGAGAAAAGTCTGTGTTGCTTAGTCTGCTATTCAAACATTTAACAACACTCAAATTCTGTTATCTACTTATCCCCATTACAGTATAGAAATTAGTGCAGTACAGTACATATGTATGCAGTATATATCAGATTTCTCTATTTTATTTTGTCTTTGAAGTGTTAGATTTTGATACATATCCATTTCACCAGTTTCATTACGGACACACTTTTCGTACATTCACATAACAGAAGCCATGGACATGTTCTTAGACTATTTAAACAATCTGTGTAAAAAAAATTTCTAGAACAGCTTCACAATGTGCCATCTGTTAAATGTCAAAGATTGTTATTTCATGATCAACCAAGAAACATTTTTAAAAAGGTGGAGTCATTTTGTACAGTACATTGTACATGAAGGATGAGGCACTATGGAGAGAGACAGTGTCAACAAGGAAGAGACCTTTACCTTTGACCCGTGTACCCACCGCCCGTGACCCCACTTGTACTTACTCAACCTTAGTTCATTCCTAAGTGTCCCACTGCCACATAGCAGCTAATTCATCAAACAGACCATGCCAAATGTGACCCATAAACTCACACAAGTTAAAATGTTTATATTGTCGACTATTTATACTCGTTTCACTGTTAAGTTTTTGTAGTTACGGTGCTTACTCTTAGGCTATGAAACAGTAATGAATTATATTTGAAGATTATTCTTTTAATAAATATTACTTCACTTGCCATAAACTGGCTGCATCTACCTGAACCGCACGGCACATTAAATAGAATTTCTCCATCACTCCACGGGCCACACAAAGACATGGTTTGGGCTGGGGGTTGCCCATGCCTGTTTTACAGTATTCTGTTAAGACTTCATGATATGCCTTACTTGTGGGTATTTACTAGGCTGTTCGGATTCTTGTATATTAGGGCCTAAAATAGGCATTTACGTATTCAATTCCCAGAATTTATAGGATGAATTTTATTGACCTCCAGGGCTAAATGATGAATTCTTAGTCTAAAGAAAAAGAACTATCCCTGGTGAGTCTCCTAAGAGAGGTTGTATCATCATGGAGAACTAACAAAATCATAACTGAGTTGCCTGAAGGTAATATGATCAGTGTGAATATGTTCTACTTATCTCGGTATGAAATATCTGCAAGTCATACAGTGGATTTTTAGAAGACTTCAGTTCTTTGAGTGTTTTGACCCCTATCTTGTAATGATATTGAAGGATGTAAATACTATTTGTTGATAATTGTTAAGAAATTATGAACATGAGTAAAGTCTTAAGATGAAATTTAATGTTGAAAATGTAAAGTACTTAACCTAGGAGATGTAAATAGAGAAACAAGGATATCATATGAATACTGTTGATATAGAGAAATCAGACAGAAAGACTTAGGGTTAATGTAAGAATCTTTAATCAAGACAACAATGGGTATTTGTTCGAAACAAGGCTAGGAAAGTACACTTGGGTTCATACAAAAGAGTGTTGGCTACAAGACTAGCAAGGTTATCCTAAAACTATATCTTGTGCTCGTGAAACCTCTTTGATTATGCAGTTCAGTTTTGGTCACCGTACTACAGAAAGGATATCAACCCCCTTAAAAGTATTCCAAGGAGGATGCCAAAGCCAATCCTGAGCATTAGGAACCTGAGTATAGAGACATTAAAGCATCTGAATTAAAAGTTCCCTTTGAGGGTTCTGCATAAGATGAGAGCTATATTTTGGGATAAGTGTTACATCACACTGTTCCTGTTTTGATAGGCTCATTGAGGGTCTTGGCCCATTTACAGCTACACTTCTGCACCTTCCTGGCTGCCACATCACGACAAGTGGTTTGAAGCTTATATCTGGACCTTCTACCTCCCACATCTTGGTACACTGCTATGAATTATCAATTGTCATTAGCTTGGAAAATACTTCTTGCTCACCGTTAGACAAGCTCTCAAGATCAATAGAACATCAAATGGGTAGCTCTATAAATAAAACTAAATGATTGATGTTTGTATCGTAGAAGTAAAACTAACCCAGTTCTTTATTTTATACAGGGAAGTAGTATTTGTAAATGGCCACCTGACATCATTATGCTATTGTTTCTTTGCCATTCCTAAAATTATGAATACAGTACAGTATTATAAATATGCAGATTACTGTACTGGCATAGATATAAATGAAGACTATCACCAAAGAAAAGTCAATTACAGGAACAATAGTTGTTTGGTTACAACAAGGTACAGTACTTGAATTCTTAATGACAAAACAGTTCCATCTCATAATTTTTATTTGTTGGTGGACTAGTGTAATTACTAAAGACCTTAGCTGATCGAGTGCACTGTGTGATAGTGTACATTATGTTAATGTCATGACGGATCCTACACAGCATGCATAACTCAATCTATTTGTGTCAACCAATCTCCTGACATGATTTATGAACATCTGCAGCGGTACATTTACCATATACGTCCTAGATTAAATTTCTGAGACATGACGGACATTTAGTGTGCACAAAATTAATTGTACTGTGCTTTTTAAACAGGCATTGAAAATTATAGATTCCGGGTAATAAGTCTTAAATTGACAATTCTTTTATATAAAAGCAGAAGTGTCATATTTTCGAGAAAATATTGCATAAAGGATATCAAGCACTAATAACTAAATTATTTTAACCCCAAATTTGGACAAAATACTTAAGTGAGTCATTAATTAGTTCGGGACCCAGAATTATCATCTGAAATAGTACGGTACGTAATTCAGTATATTTGTTATTTTATCTTCTACAGGTCAATAGTGCATCGCATCTTTAATACGATACTCTTAGTGAGATGGATTATTTTATTTTTTTATATTAGTACTACTGTAGTGTTCCAGAACATCGACAAGCAAACAGCACTTGAGCTATTGTGAGCTGGGCCAGGACTAGTGTTTTAAACGTTTTTATATACAACTTCTGTCATACATATAAATTTTAAATTATAATATATAAAATCTAAAGTAAAGTCGATATATAATTGCATTTGTAAGTATGAACAGTAGTTTTATTAAAAAGTCGTGAGTGTATGTGGCGTGTGCCCTCACGTCCTACTGCGCAGTGTTGTCCTCGTCAAAACTATCTCGTCTGTGATGTGTATTTTCCTGTGAATATACATAACCGTGTGATGAATTTATACAGTAATCGGTATCCATGCAGTTGAACATCTGATTCATATTGCTGTATATACGTCACTGCAAATCAAGGTAAGTAAGTATATTATTTAGAAACAAAATTGTAAGGAGCTTGGTTGTTGACTGAGGTTATTCTGGCACGTGAAGGTTCCGGAAGAGTGTTGTCATCCAATGGGTTTGTTTACAATCTACTAACAACCATGTGTATAGCCCATGTGATTTTAGGTATGTTGAACTCAAGATCATATAGATTTACGAATAATGACATATATGTAAAATATATTGGAGGTTTGTTAAGCCAGTATTAAAGGATTTTGATGTGTAGTTAAGATAAATTTTGCTTCTGCTTGTGTGGAGTTATAGAAAACGGAAGCATAAACTCCTATATTTAAGAACTCGACACAAAGTAAGAACAGGAATATTTTGCGTAATTTCCCTTTCCATCACTATTGCAGTATATTGAATATATGGTATAAGTGATTAATTTTTATATAATTTTCACCCTGTCCTTCTCTGAAAGTGAAATATAAATTATATTTTTTTATTTCATAGCAAGACATTGATTAACTTCGGTTTGTATCAAAGTATTTAGTGCTGAACTGATCACATATGGACTGTCTGTGTGGAATTAATAATAAAGTGACCGCAGTGGCTGTTAAGAATGGACAGATATAGTCAAGTCGTTATCAAAAGTAGGTTAATATAACACGTTAAGACGTAGTGTCCTTTTAGGTTTGCTTCTATTTAGTCTTGTCAAACTGTTGATTTTTTGTCCTCTTGGTATGTGTCAGTCGTAGTCTGCTGAACTAGGCCATTTTTTAAAGTCCTCATAGTTTTAGGTGTAAAGAGAAAATATTATACTTAAGTTGGATTTGTTAAGGTTTTTATTAGTACTGGAATAGTACAACGGTCCATCAATAGGAAAATTTATAAAAAAAATAGTGGTAATAATACATTATCGGTATACTTTTTAGTTTTAATTTTCAGCTGGAAGAGTTATATAATTTTATTATCTCCCACAAGGTCTGTTTGGGTAAGTGAACCCTGTACAATTAGTGAATAGATGTGGTGATTAATTATATTGCTTACACTAGTTAAATAAGCTAATCTTCAATTTATGCCTTGGAGGAATACAGGAAATAACTGGATGTGGTAGCATTTGTGAAATTAATAAAGGCGGTAGCTAAGAAATCCAATTAGTTAGTGTTTGACTTCCACTACCACGACCAAAAATAATTACGAAGATATGTTAACTATTTTATTCGTGGAAGAATAACTATAAAGGTTAACGAAGGAGTTTTCTGGTAAATGACCACTTCAATTTATGTGCCTAATCGTCTCCTTGTGATTTGAAGTTGGACAAGTTTTGTTTGAAATTATCTTTTGATATGTGGTGGTGATGGGTAAAGAGGGGACCTTGATGGTGAGATGGGTGATGATGGTAAGGTGGATGTGAAATAAGTGATGATGGTGGTAAGTTGGATGTGAAATTTGTGATGTTGGTGATAGGTTTGATAAGAAAGGGATGGTGGTTATTGTGAAGGTGAGGGAGAAAGGGACGGTTGATGGTGTAACATAGATGAGAAAGGGGTGATGGAAATGAGTTAGGTTAAGCACGAATTGATGATAATACTGGGGTGTGATACAAAATTGATTAGTGGAGAAGAGAGTGACAATGGGACGAGAGGGGATGTTAGTGGATAAGGTT